ATTTTTGGGAGGATTAATAATTGGCAGGTTAATAAAATCAAAGTAGATACCCAAAAATAGGTATTCAAAAAAAGTAATATTTAACTGATATTACAATACTAAACTTTAACCTTTAACAGCAGTTTATATATTGTCCTAAAAGTTTTGTATATATTTTTTAAGAATATTTATAGAGGGAATTATAATTTCAGTCAAAAGTTTGCAACGCAGTGAAGGAGACATTTCCAACCCTATAAAGTACATATTCCTGATCAGCATCACCAGAAAAAATTGGTCAAAAATTGGACCAACGTTAAAATGAAAAATTTTGATGCAGATTTTTTGAGAATCTAATTACGAGTCTTTAGAGGTATGCCACTTTGAAATCGGATAAAATTTGGTAAAGTTATGGACTTTGGAAGTCCTGTTATGGGCCACCTTTTAACAACACATCGGAAACTTGGAAATAAATGACATGAAAATGGGTCAAAAATTGGACCAACGCTAAAATGAAAAATTTTGATGCAGATTTTTTGAGAATCTAATTACGAGTCTTTAGAGGTATGCCACTTTGAAATCGGATAAAATTTGGTAAAGTTATGGACTTTGGAAGTCCTGTTATGGGCCACTTTTTAACAACATATCGGAAACTTGGAAATAAATGACATGAAAATGGGTCAAAAATTGGACCAACGCTAGAATGAAAAATTTTGATGCAGATTTTTTGGGAATGAAATTACGAGTCTTTAGAGGTATGCCACTTTGAAAACGGGTACAATTTGGTAAAGTTATGGACTTGACTTATGAAGTCCAGTTATGGGCCAGCCATGTCCGTCTGTCCGTCCATCCGTTTCTAGGCTTGAAACTTTCCCAAAACTTGTCTCGGACGACTATATCATATAGCTCCCATTGAAACAATCGGAAAAAAAATTAAATTAATCGAAATGTAGTCGATTTGTAATAACTGCAAGGGTATATAAACTTCGGCTTACCGAAGTTTGCTTCGGAGGTCAATGGTAACATTTTTGTACTTAGCTATTCTTTGTGATGAAGATGAACTAATTCCTTGATTTAAAAAAATTAAATATAAATTGTATTGTGCGAAATATAGTATGCAAAAAGTTTTAGCAGCACTCAAAAATGTGGCAGCCACGCCCACTCGAGTATTGCTCCCCAAAAAGCCCACACACATAGATGCATAAAATGCCATTTGGCAATTTCAATGCTGTATCCTTTGGCAAACACACCGAGTGCGAGGGAGATGGAGCACTAAAAGCGCCTGGATATATCCATTTCGCTTTTTGGAGGATTCTTCGCGTGCCATGTTAAGAGCTGCAACAACAATGGTAACAGCCATTGTGTATTACATGCGTGTGAACCAAAACTCAGACAAGAGGATTTCCCACTTTGCCCCCCATTTTCCAACCCAGCCCTCAAAACATTTCCATTCACAATCAAACACATTCACAATCGCAAAATGGAATTGTTCATTTTCAAACTTTGGCATTGGGTAAGCACTTTTTGTGTTTATTTATTTAAGTGTTATTTCGTTTTACTTTCCGAGTGCGTGTGAGCATGTGTGTGTGTCTGCGAAAATTGAGTTATAAACAAGTTTTTCGAAAATTGTTTAAATGGAAAGAACAGATTGAATTTCCTCCTGTCGAGGGGCGTGGGCCACTTGAGCTTATGTCAAGTGGAAAATCGTTTTGTTGTAAATGTCTGCGCTTGTGTGCGTACACTATGAATATATTTTTGATCAGCTTGATTTATTTATATATGCAAATCGGCTAATGTGTTGCAAAGGGTTCTCCCGCCGGGAAACCGTATCACTTTAAAGTCGCCTAATTCTGTTTCAAAAGTGTGAGGGTCCTTTGATTGCCTCCTTGACTTCACTTTATCCATGTTTCCAGTTGAATTGTGTCTCGTGTGGATTTATTCTTGTGAGTTGTGATAGCCATATATATATATATCTTAAACAAATGTTAGTAGAAATAATGTAGGAATAAATGTATGGTACAACACATCAATCTTTTTCTATCCCATGAAAACATGAACATACAAATTTCATCAGTATTTTATAAGTATAAAAATATACTTATTTAGGTTCAATTTTATAACAAATAAATAGTTCAACATTCTTTCTGTAGTTCCTAAATATTTTGTAATTTATCCTTTTATTCTTGGTAAACGAAAAAGCACAAGTATTTTAATACCATATAAATCCTAAATGAATGCCACCCCTTGGATATTTTCCTCTATTTTCAACTCTTTGAAAGCATTCTGCAGACTGCATTCAAGTGAAGCCCTTGCACTGATAAGCTGGAAAATTAAACGAGCTGATATCTTAGCACCCCCACTCCACTCCTCCTGAAAATGAGCATTGTTCTGGCTGCAAGTTCAGCACTTGGTTGCCACAATTTATGCATTTTCCATGGCATTAACGTTGAAAGGCGTCGCAAATGAAATGCCATTCAAAAGGCTTTGCCTTCTCCGCTCGGTTCGGCTGCTGTTGTCTGGTTAGTTGGGTTACCTGGTTAGTTGACTGCCACCTAAAAGCCCCCCCGCCCCAAAAGGTCACGCAAATTAGTGCAGCAACAAAAACTCATGGCAACGGAAAAGTTTCCTGAACAGGATAACTGCCAACTCTGGACGCAGACTCCATCCCGATGCTGGTTGTAATCCTGGCTGGGGAAAACTTGTAAAAGTAACTAGATAACGCAGCAACCAACAAACTAAGTAGTTCTCAAAGGGGTTGAGGTGGAAGCCCAATCCCAATAAAACCCCAAAGGATATTCATGAAAATAAGGCGGCACCAGCTGAACAACTGGGTTATTGACCTCACTTGAGGTTCGATTCTGATACCTGCTTGACTCATTGAACTCGCCTGATTGGCTCATTTGAGAAAACATAGAATAGTTGGTACTTTGCTAATCACTTTGCAATGGATTCGTTATAACCAAATAGGAAAAAAATATTAACAATTTTTGTGCCACTTGATTTATTTTACTTTCAAAGAGTATTGGAAAATAATAAATGCAACTGCTATTAATGTTGATGAGAATCCAATTATGGAATAATGCAACTATCATTAGTAATAGGTTGATAACAAACATTTAACCATCTCATAAATATTGGTTTTTTAGTCCGTTCTATTAATATTAAAGAGCTCAATAACTTGTAACCTTTTATAATATAATAAGTCCAAAACCTTACTTAAGTCCACAATTGCTTATGGTCATTAGAACACAAACCTTACTGAATAAACTTTTTCTTTTCCCAACTAATTGCATGAATGTTAATAACTTTTTTCCGAAATCACGGCCACATGTCACAAACATAAGGGAAGGGCCCCATGCCATCCGTTGAAATAATTAATAAGCTAATTAATCTATAATAATGTCAAATAATGAGCCAATATTTGAGCAAATATTGGGGCAGGAAAAGCGGCGGCGACGATGGAAATTGCGATGGCGTCGACAGGAAAGCGAGGAAAATTTCGTATGCCAGTGTGTGTGTGAGCTCATTGAAATGCCATCATTATCGTGCTCATCATCGTTTACATGGCAAGTGCCTCATGGTTGCATGCCGCAAACGCTGCCGCTTCATTATCCTTATTACTCCTTTCGCTACAGTTACCCAATCTGCCCATCTCGCTCGGCTCATGTGTGCATACACTTGGAAAAAAACACGAGCACGTCCGGTCCGTGCTGACAGCCTTATTTTTTTCACTTTGTCGTTATTGTAGGGATATCATTTTGATTTAATGATATCATCAATGGGAATTTTTTCTACACAATAATATCGTATTTTTTAACCGCATTTTATATGTGATCTAATTACCAATGAATATTTTTAAATGTCATGTTGAAAGCACACAGACAGGTGTCATTTTAATCAGAAACTCATTTTATTATTGATATTATTTTTCTTGCCACGTTTTTAGTTGCAGTGCAGCTATCTCACTCTGCGCGGGCAGGTTATTGTTTCCATTTTGATTTATGTCTGGCATCCTTGGGCTCCTCTTGGCCTCGTCTACTATTTTAACGTTGTTAACCAAATTGCATAAATTAAGTGCGTTCGTTTGCTTGAGTGGCTTTGGTTCTGGCTCTAGTCCTCGGCTCCTGTAGCTCCTCCATCGCCCGATCCTTCAGCTATTTCCGAGTTTTGGCTCGAAGGCAGCTCCCACGTCCTTCGTCCTTCGTCCTTCATACTTCGTCCTGGGCTGCATTTGTGTTGCTAATGTGCGCACATTAGACGCACATGTTGCCAACTCCTGAATTGTGTTTGCTTTTTTCCCTCTCGGCGCATTTTTTCTCTACGGCGAAGGGGAAATCATGTAAAGCAGCTGGAATATTTTATAATTGGCATGTAAATGCATCAGCTTATGCAATCCTTTCCCAGCTATAATGAAATATTTTTATTTTTTATAGCTTTGCCTTGGCTTTTGCATGAATGAAGTCATGTGTGCAAGGCTAAAAGTCATTAAGATTAAGTTTGAATTAATTGTTTTAACATGAATGAACTCATTAACTTGTGAAACTCGTTTAAGCTTATGGTTTTAATTGACAAAATTAACATTTTCATTTGGACAAGAATAATTAAATAGTTTCCCGATTGGTTTATATTAAATAAACCAATCGGGAAACTATTTAATTATTCTTGTCCAACGTTTATGTATTTATTTTGTTTTTTCTCACGGTCAGTTTATATGTCTATATTTATTGGTTAAAGTTTAAAATATAACTAAAATGTGTACAATATGCAGTCGTCTTACTTTAGACACTGCGTGACTATTTATCTGTAATTTTCTGCTAGTTTTCAGTGAATACCTATCAATTGCACAGCTCCAATTACAATTTGCCCAATCAACAAAAATACATTGTAAATATTTGCCTTGCTATTGTTAAACTCTATAGAAAATTGCCCTAACTCCGGTTCAATTATTGTAATAATATTTACTATTGACACATCGACTATATAAGTACGGTGCGGACTAAAGTTTTCAGTTTTAGAGTTTTGCAATGAAATTGCATGGGTTACTTTTGCTATTCCTGGGCTTCATTTGCCTGAGTCGCAGTCAGGACGAAAATGAGAATGTTCGCAGGATAATGAAGGAAATGGAGGTGATCCCTGAAATTTTAGATGAACCGCCCAACGAATTACTCAGGGTGAGTTGTAATATTTTAAAGGAGCTTTATATTAATTAAATAAACTTTAGATTAAATATGACAACACCTTTGACATCGAAGAGGGCAAGTCCTATACTCCAAAAGAACTTAAATTCCAACCCAGACTTGATTGGAACGCGGATCCTGAGACATTTTACACTGTGGTTATGATTTGTCCCGATGCTCCGAATCGTGAGAATCCCATGTACCGATCCTGGCTTCATTGGCTGGTGGTCAATGTTCCCGGATTGGATATAATGAAGGGTCAACCCATATCGGATTACTTTGGTCCTCTGCCACCAAAAGACAGTGGAGTTCAGCGCTATCTTATTCTGGTCTATCGGCAATCGGATAAACTGGATTTTGATGAGAAGAAGATAGAGCTAAGTAATGCCGATGGTCATAGCAATTTTGATGTGATGAAGTTTGCCCAGAAGTACGAAATGGGAACTCCAGTGGCGGGAAATATATTCCAATCCAGGTGGGATGAATATGTTCCGGAGTTGATGAAGACACTCTATGGTGTTGATGAGTAAAGCTTGTATTTCTAAATGGATACGGATTGTGAGCGGTGGAGAGGTTCCTTGGTTGAGTTTATAAGTATTTGTTTTATGTTTACGTTGAATAAAAATATCTAGATAGTAATGAGCATTCCAAAAATTAAAGTCAAGATAGCATTTTTTGTTTTTTCGCTTCCAATTACCTAATATACTTAATTAAGTGACCATAACTCGACTGGTTGCTAAACTGAGTCGCTTGAGAGATTAGCCAACTTCAATGATATGCTCTATAGAATTTTCCTCTAACGCTTTGATTGACTAGCTACATTTTCTAAATCCCTCAAGTTCTAAACAACAAGAAAAACAAAAACAAACGGCTTTGCACTTGGCACAGAACTCACTTAAACTTTGCAATCATGATAGGTCGTAATGTAAGATTTCCATTTATATAAACTCGAACAAGTGTGAAAGGTGCAACTTTCACGGGGGCGGAAAAAAGGAAAGCCGCCTGGGGTGCAGACTTTCCCCACACTTTCCACTTCCTTCTCCAGTTTCCACTCAAATAGTAACTAAACGCAGTCGAGCACAAAGCGCTTTTTGTGGGCAATGGCAAAGAACCTTAAGGTTAAGATTACAAGGTAATTTGATTCAATTCGAGTGATAGGCGTGCCAAGGCAACAACAAGCGGCCCGAGATGGAAACGGAGATGAAGAAGGTTTTCCACGCAGAGGAGTGGAGAGCGGGGGAAAATGCCCGGTGTCGGGCCAATTTCCCCAGTTTCAGTCGGATAGATGACAGTGTCAAGATAAGAATTGTTGCAGCTTTGCCTTTGCACCCCTCTAGCCAAAAAGTCGGACCCGTTTCCTCAATGACATTTTCCTTTCCGGCTTTCTTTCTGTTGTTGGTATTTCTGTTTATCAGCTTGTGTATAAATTTGCCTTTATTTTGACATATTTAGTGGCGCTTCCAAGACAATTGTCTCGGCGATAAAAAGCTCAAAGATCTGGCTCCGATTTGCTTGTTACTCCATTAAAACGGCATATAAAAAGGAAGAATGTGGCCACAATATTCAACTCAAATTGGATTTAGTTGGCAATGGGAGTAAATACTTTATGAAGTGGATTATGTTTAAGTCGCATGCAAACAAATTAATACAAGAAGGCTTCACAAATTAATATTTAAACTTTTACTTTTTAAAAATGTACCTAAATTTAATTACAAATAGTAGGAAGTTTTATAAGAAACTCTATCAGTTTTTTATAAATATTTCGACATTCTTGATGACACTGTTGTCTTTGAAAATCCCTCATCATCGGTGCAGATAAACCAATGATAAATTTGCTCGTTCCCAGGCCTCATCTTTTCGAGCTTAGCTCTAATTTCACGCTCGCCTGATCTCACTATTATAAGACACAGTTTTTTCCACCAAGTTGCCAACGGGACGTATGAGTAATCTGCCCCAAATCCCAGAGTTTTTGCTCTATCCTCAATTTTTTTGCGGACAACTTTTCCTCTTATTATTTATCCCATGTGACAAATTTGGTGCACAAGATTTTTGCCTTGCATAATAAACTATGCGTTGCAGTTGAGAAGCAAAAGAAAAAAATTAAATTAAGTTCCAGGAGGAAGAAAATGTGGGAAAGCGAAGGAGTTGAAAGTTTCTCATCGTTCGCTGGAATATGAAAGTTTTCCGTGCACGTTTTAATTTAATAATCGCTGTCTGGAGTCGTTAAGTTGGGGCAAAGTTTTTCTGGCCAGTTTACCGGATTTGACATTACACTTAATCGTTCAAAAATGCTTTTAATTGGAGCGTTGTTTGCGTGAATAAATCATGTAATAAATAAACAAGCCGGCACACTTGTTGGCCATGCATTATTTATGCCCCGAATCAATAACTGTGACACTTTGTCCAGCATTTCGCATGCATGGCAATGACTGATGCAGATGAGCAGGACCTGGACACACAGGATAAGCCAGGACGAGGCAAGTTGGGGGAGGGGGGCAAATGTCCAAACCTGCAGCCAGCAGCCTCCTGTCTCCTGTCACACAGTTAAAATGTGATAAATTCCATTAAGTGACAGAGAAACGCACACGAAATGCAAACGTAAACTGTATTTGTGTTTAGAGATGGTAAATCCGGCGACATTAGGCCATAAATTATGGCGACTCTAACAATTATTCCCTTAGCAAGGAAAACGTTATGGTTTTTGGTTTGTTATTCAATTGTGAGTTTAATTAAATTTTAAAAACAATGAATTACTTTGTTTATCAAAAATATTTCAAATATTTATTGTCACAGTTTAGCTATGGCCAATGATTAAAGTAAATCAAAATAAGTTAAATATATTACCTATGTATTTTAATTATATTTAGAAAAGGTTTTTTGGTAAGTAAATATATATTTATTTTTAGTTTATACTAAGATCAGTTAAATAGAATAAAAAAACATTTAAATTATTTATTCAAAGAATATAACCAAGTGTTTAACCAAGATATTTTTTTTTATATTTTGCTTAAGCAAAGAAGTGATATAAATCTTAATAAATGCGCACGTATATCACATCTCTGGATTCTAGTGCCGCCACATAGAAATGTTTTGAATGACAGGCAAGAAATCCATTTTGTGTGAGGCACCAAATCAAAATGTACCAGCCAGGAGCAGACACACACATACACACACTCTCGCATGGCAGCCCCTACAAACACATCTATATACGAACTGTAAACATCCAGTTGAAAGTTGCATGTTGCACATTGAAAGCCAAAACTGACACCAGCAGACATTTAGTACGCATCGCATATTGAAATTGTAATTTGATTTCTGCCCTTTGCCACCAACTGTCCATCTGGCTATCTCCCTCTCTTTCTCTCTCTAGATTTATATTCCCCCGATTGAGTGGTATTTCCATACTAGTGTGCATGCAAAAGAGGTCCTTGCCCTGAGTCCTGCCAGTTGCGTATTTCGAAACTGAATAAACCCATTGGAGTTTAAGGACTAAAACTGGGTCAAGCCCGAAATTAAAAGGGTGAGAGATTAAAAAGGACTGAAATGGATGGTAGATGAGTTAGAAAATATGCCACAGTGCACCCACTGCAGTGGGTGTAGAAATCTTGGGGGAAATCTGATGTCTAATAAATCCTATTTTATATGTCATTTTTTATATATTTTTAATATTTTTAAGCAAATAAATACAACTTATGAAACTTAACACATTTAAATTGATATCTACATAAAATAATTTGTAAATCTTGTTTTAGTAAAAAATGTACAAAGGCTTACCAGTTTTAAAGGCGTTAAGTAAATAAAGCTTGGGAACCACATAAATTTATATAAATTGAATGAAGTTCGCAAGATATTTCTAATGTTGTTAAATTATATTCAAATATTTTTTAAATTATTAAATTTTATTTCAAGTGTTGAAAATATTTAAAAAGGGATTAATCCAAAGCCCATTAAATGAGTTGAATAGAGACAATACCTGCGTTGCTCACTATCTGGCTGCGGCACACCTGAGGCAGTTCCTGCTCCCGACCATTTCCATCGGGGATCAGCCCCCTTAATGTGCACTTGTGTGCTGACAAAGCCTCTTGGGGCACTTAAATCATTATTTAATTTGAATTTAAAATGCAGCAAGGAATTTTCCACGGCTGTCGCTGTTTGTCGTCTGAAACAAAGCGCGGACAAATAAATAAAATAAAATGCCAAACTCATTACAAGCCGAGAGCTGGACTGCTGATGTTAATGATGATGATGATGATGACGTGGCAACAAGTCGGAGTCGGGCATCACTTTCCACAATGCCCCATGCACACGCACACACAGTGAGGGCGAAAAAAAGTGGCCAACAAAGGCACAATGGGACACGGTACCCACCTCCCCACTTTTGAGAGCTCTCCCACTTGGCTGCCTGCATTGTTGGTTTTCATTTTAAAGGGGGGGTAGTGGGGTAGGAAAAGCGGGGGCAGGAAAAGCGGGGAAAGGAAACAACGCCTGCGGCATCTGGGGCATTGATGCCAGGTGACAGACGGCAGAATGCAGGCGCGTCCTTGTGTGAGCCACTGTGTGTACAATTTTCAGCCTGCATATGCCGCCGTTTTCCAGCTAATTGCCGGCTATTTACATTTTAAATCGCAAGAAACTTTAAAACCAAGTTGGCCACAAATGCAACTCAGTTTAGCTGACTGTTGGATAAATAGTTAATATGCTTCAATTTTCTTGCCCTAATGTCTTTTAATTGTTTCGTCTTTTTAATTTGAGAACAACTTTATATAATTGATGTGTTATATAATATTGGCATTGATTTTGAAACTAAATCTTTAACAACATAATTTCTGTTTTTAAAGATATTAATCGCTTTTTCGCTTTAAAAAGGTTTGGAAGCTTCAAATGCCATTCTATTTAATTTTATTGATTTTCTTTACTCCACTGATTGATTGAAACGAGTAAAAGCTGGAAAACTTTCAAGAAAAAAATATATTTCATACACAAATTGCGTCGTGAAGGTTGGTGAGCTTATGAATACGAAATGCGGTTTTGTCATATTCCAGTTTCTGGCACTTGAAATATGTCAATCCTTTGTCGTTTCTGTGGCTCACCTCACTGCAAGTGACAAGTCGAAAGGCGAATAGCAAATAAGTTGAAAGTTCTGCCCCAAGTCAACCTGATCAAATATTCAAGAAGTATTAAAAGCGACTCAAAAATTTTTTTTAACAAGGTACTCGTAAGTAAAAGTGGGTATAAGAATTTTTTTTGGAAATGCTGGAAACTTCTTTATTAGAGTAAAAATATGGTCATATCTTACCTTGTTGTTTCGATTAACAGGAATTCAAGGTGATAAACTTCAGCTTGTGTCAAATAAATATAAACAAATAAAAACTTGAAATACTAAAGATCTGAAAGTGATGTCGACTACAGAAGGGGACGAGATTGAAGCTACTGGATGCCAGATTTTCCATGGCACTTCGGCAAGGCGCATCCAAAAGGAGCTGGACGAGATCACTCAGGACCCGCCGACCAATTGTAGTGCCGGTCTGAAGGAGGATGACATGTACGAGTGGACGGCCACCATTGTGGGACCATCGGATTCCGTCTACGAGGGCGGAATGTTCTTCCTTGACATACAGTTTCCCATGGATTATCCTTTCAAGCCGCCGAAAGTCACGTTTCGCACGCCCATCTATCACTGCAACATCCGATGGGGCACCATCTGTCTGGACATACTGAAGGATAACTGGTCACCGGCCCTGACCATTTCGATGGTCCTCCTGTCCATCTGCTCACTGCTCACCGATTGCAATCCAGCCGATCCGTTGGTGGGCACCATTGCCAAGGAATATGTCTTCAACCGAGAGGAACATGATAAAACAGCGCGTCGTTGGACATCACAGTATGTCTTTGGGAGCTCGCCTATAAAAATTCCTAATAATCACTTCCCTCTTTCAGGTACGCAAATGATGAACAAGTTGAGCCATCCATAATATGGTAAAATCCAAAAACTGCAATGAGAGAATTATTAGTTGAAACTATGCTAACATATATTTTAATACGCTAAATTTAGGAGTAACCATGAACATCCTAACGAGCTTACCTTTTAATTATTTTCTGGTTTCTCCATTTTTTTTTGGGAATACCGTTTCATACTTTACATGCACATATTTAAAAATAAATGTTTCACTTAAAATTAATATTATTATAATTTTATATATATAATGTATTTTTATGCATTACTGGTATCTTTTTTTCGAGTCACTCAACAAAGTCTTCTTATTAATTTTTTTTATTGACAACTTTGGAAATTGTTCATGTCGCAATTGGGGAACTTGGACCACGCCCACACAACTGCGCCCCTTGTGGTAATACTTTTGAGTGGCCGACCAAAGGCGTTGCTAACGAATTTCCGCCAGGGCCAAAACAAAAATGCGATAGAGTATGAAAATGTTTTTTTGACATCAGCTTCGTGATTTCCATGCGAAAAATATATATTTTGCAAAAACAAAAGGAAAGGGGGTCGAATGGTGGGTGGGTAGGTGCTCTACTCTGTTGCTTATCGATTTGAAAATTACATGCGGGAAAGTTCAGGCAAAGGAAACACGAAATTAGCACAGGCCACGTCGCTGCCAGAAACTGTCAAGTGTTGCATACTTTTTGGGGCAGTTTGAAGGGGCCTAAACGGGGATTCCCTGGAAAAATCGGAGGAAAACGAACAGCAAACTGGAGCACATTTGCATGAAACTGAAGTTGGAGAAGGACAAACATTAGCACAAGTCAGATAGCAAAAGGGTTGCTTCCAGGAGATTTTACCCACCGAAAGCCGAGCCAAATTCTTTTACCGCTCTTTTACTTTTATGGCGGGTAACCCTTTTTGGCAATCAACCCCCTTGGCGAACTGGAAAACAAGTCAAATATGCTGCCAAAGTTATTGATGGCACACGCACCAAAACAAATTTGCTTAAATCTGTTTAATGTTTTCCCATTTATTGTGCTGGTTTACCCTGCTTCCGCTTTCGTTTTCCTCTCTTTTTTCAATATTTATAAATATGTTTTTCTTCAAACAATTTGTTAATATTTTATATTTTTTCGGCCATGTCCATGATTGGCTGCATAGATCATTTTGATGAGGGTGTGTGCGGCTTTTCTGATAAGTTGAGCGAATATTTTACAAAAATGTTGGGACCAGTTAAAAAAAATCGTAGTCTTATAACATTTCGGGCTTAAATTAACTTTTGAATACATAAATGGTTTGTAAGGGTTTGCTTATAAACTTTTAGTATCGCTAGCTTAAGCACAGTCCTTATTTATCCTCATTAATATTTCATCATCATTTGAACATTTTTCACCCATCATTTGAAAATTCTCTTAAATTAAGCATGCTCAAAAAGCTAACGACGAAGTTTTTCGCCTTAAAACAAGAAAAGCCAAGTCAAATTATCAAAAGCAAAGATTACGAATCTTGAATACCTTTTAATAAGTAAGGTTTACTTATCATCGATGTGAAGATAATTTCAAGCTGAATGTGCTTTTCATAGAGCGACTTACAAAATCTTGGTCAAAAATTATTTTTTAATTTTTTAAAATTCTTTAGAATATTATATTCAACTTTCAATTGCTTATTGGTAATTTGTATGAATGAGAATATATAGACCAGATTAATATTAGGGTTTTCATTACTTTGTGGGCTCACAATAATTGTAAAAATAATTTCAAAATATATTTTCGAATTGTTGGAATTATGTAGTTATTAAATATTTCCTTTTTCTTTGCTATTTCATGTTTTAATGAAACACAGCATACTCCTGCTACCCTGCAAGTGGCGGCTGCAAAAACGAGTGAAAATCCCCAGCACACATTTGCAGCGTAATCAACAAAAGCACTAATTGCATAGAAGACACGCTCTGACATTGATGTCTGATGCCAGGGAGTGGAGGCGAGACGGATATCTATGGGTATCTCTGTCTGTCTGCCTGCAATTTCGTTTCATTTGCGCTCCATGTGCAGCGGTATTAACGTTACAGTTGCCATTTACCTTTGCCAACCGGGGCGCTGATGACGCTAAGCTGTCTGCATGCGTAGACAGAGCCACCCCCTCATTTTCCACCCACTTTTCCGCCCCGCTTTCCCCACCAGCCGTCGCACAACTTCATTAACGCAGAGTAAACACACGCATGCAGTGTCCCAGCTGAAGCCGGTAGCAAAGTGTTTGATGTTGTTGCCCTTCCTCGGGCAGTTTAAAGTTACATTTTGGGATCTCCTCTCTGGAAATGGAAATGGAAGGGGCGGGCATTCGGGGGGCGTGGCACCCAGACTCACAAATGCTCGGAGTATTTGCTATGGTGAGTATGTTTTGGGCTGGCGGAGATAAGGATAAGGACGTCTGCTTTAAGCCAAACAAAATCTAAAATTAAATTGGGCGAAAATTGTTCTTACAAGAGACATTTCAATATTAAGAACCTATTTGGCTATTTTACAAGGCTAGCTATTTTATTAATAAAACTTTGCTTAATATGTTAATATATCTTAAGAGCCCAAAAATATATCTCAAAAGTATTAAATTTGTCTATCTATTTAAACCAACTGCTTCGGAAATCAAAATCACAAATCAATTGAATTCTTTACGATATCGTCTTGAAGTTAAGTGTAATTACGACAATTGTTGCCATCATCCTTTTAAATGCATGCAAATTAACATGATCTAAATAATTAAATATAATTTAATGTGCTTTTCCGGCCATACACAGGATTTCCACGCATTTCCCCCACTCTTGCTTTTTCCACATTATTTAGACCTGGCTCGAGGTCCATTAACAAAGCATAACGATGTGTCATGTGGCAAACACACACACGCATAACCGCAAATATCGCACTTGGTTTTGCTGCTTTCTCCGTCGCTTTCTCCCCGGCTCTTTGTTGTTATTCATATTTATGCGGCTACGTGTGAGAGTGCCTCCTTAACAAGCCTAACGAACTGCCAAATTACGCTGAAATAGCATTAAAAATTTAAATTTTTTCCCAGCCTGTATCTTTTTTTTTGGTTTTGTGGACCGTCAAAAGCGAAAACGCCAACAAGTCCTTAATGACATTAAAAAGAAAGCGATTTTCTCTGGCCGTCTGTGGGTGTGTGTAAAAACCATCTTGTGGCTGTGAAGGAACTTTAGCTTTCTTGAGTTCTATTGAATTAAAAGAATGAAAAAGAATATAGTAAAAGAATTCTAAGCAGATTTTCCAGGTATTTTAAATAACGAAAAACACACGGATCTAAAGGCCCTTTTAACAGCATTTTAAATCGGTAGTAAAGTTGGTATAAGTACACGTCAAGGTTAATCTTTTGAATACCTTAAATTCTTCAAATATTGAAGCTATTAAAATAAAACATCTAACGCTCTATTATAGCTTTGTTAAAGTGTTTTCCTTTCTAATTTTATTTATTTCCTTCTTCTGCATAAAATTCAGAGCTCAGTGGTAGTAAATTCCTCTAGTAACCTATTGAATGCACATATGTACCCATTTACTTTAGGTGGCTTGTTGCTGTGCCACTTGGCAATCGAATGTGAATGCCAATAAGAACCTGAAGATGTAGCCAAGAAATGTTAGATATGACAACAAAAATAAAAAATGCGCCAGAGGAACAAAAGTTGCGCCAACTTCGGATGCGAAAGTTTTTAATCTGCCGCATGCAAAACTTTAATCGAAAAGCTGCCAGCACTGGGGAAACTAAGTCAAACTTTTCAAATTGAAATATCAACAAAAAAAGTAGAAGGCAGATAAGAAAAATTCGATTCGTATGTTTTGTCGTCACATGCCAATTGCGTGTTTGAAGTGCATGCAGAAATTTAAGCCGAAAACTTTGATCGGCTGCCTCAGTGACAGAGACAAATGTGAAAGTTTTTCCAATGCACTCGAAAGTAGTAGGAAAAGCAGTTTGTAAAGTATGCAAAGGGCATGCAAACAATGGCCTGTGATGGCATTTCATTTCTTTTCTTTTCCATTTGGAGGGCGGTGCATTCTAGACACTTGAACTTGTTAACTTTGTTCAGGCAAAGTAATGAAAAAAATAAACATTCGTAATGGAAGGCAAATATGTATTCTGGTTATTGAAATATATGTGGCACTCATTTTTTATTTGCGATAAAAAGAGTTGCTCAGTTCGCATACACAAATGTTTTCTATGTCTGCCTTTATTTACATGGCATTAAAAAAAGCAAAACAAATATTGGAAATAATTTTCAGCCTAATAAATACATATTTATAGATAGTAAACTAATGAATCAAAGAGACCAAATCCAAAATCCATTTAAAACACAACTAATCAAGAGTAATTTATCTTTGGCTTTGAGAATAACAGCAACAGGCATTTGGCGATAAAAGTCAAATAATTTTACAGCCATTTTTAATTAACCAAATATGTTTGCACGGAACCAGGCACACAATTACACTTGTGCACAAAAATGAGTACAAAAGGAGTGAGAGAGCTCTGTAAATATGGCAGGCAAAATTAATTTGCCCAATGCAAATATGCAGAATGTGAAATGGTTCCCCTCCCCTCGCATCCCTTCTCTTACTTACTTTTTGTGCGGTGTCATAAACTTTTGGAGCCGAGAGGAAAACCCCGAAACCATAAAGGCAAATAACCTAAAAAATTTCGCTGACGTTTACGAGTCGAGTGGTGAATTTAAGCCCGTTGCCCACGCACACACAATTGAAATGCAAGTCATGAGTTAAGCAAAACGAACCAAAGCCCCTCCAAAACTCCGCTTTCTGTTGGTAGTTTCCAAGAAATTTCACCTGCCGTTGGCCACATCCACCCACAGCACAGGTAATATCACTGGGCTAGCTTAGTTCATGTCGAGCTACTGCCAGCTGTATGACTACTCCGCCAACTGCTGCTGACTGCAGTTAGTTACCCAGCGGGCGACATGGCAAACAAGGAGCTCATTTTCGAGCGGATCCTAAAAGGGAACCCAACAAACATTTTCAGGCAAATGTGCTTCAACAGGTGAAGAGCTGACTAAAATATTCAACTTTTCTAAGCAATATTACAATACCTTTTCGTATCAAGACGTTATTAAAAACAGATCATTAAAAAGAGTAAATTAAATTTCATTTTTGAAAGAATTTCCTTTTGTATACTACTGTTAGTCTGTAACCAGAAAAATTATTTTAAGAGCCAATAAACCAACCAACTATATTATTAATTATAATAGTTAAATAATTTAATTAATAAATATTTTTTTGGTATTTTATTTTATAGTAAAACATTATTCAACCAAAAATATTTTATTTCTGTTTATGTTACAATGACTTGGTTTAAAAATGAAAGGTAAGGAAAGTAAAATTCCCGGTTTTTATAACGATATGCTATTATAATTGGTTCTACCCCAAAAACATAATCCGTTGGATACAATTTTCCCCTTGGAAAATATGTTCGCTGGGTTACCAGTTGCATGTGCAAGGAGTATGGAACAGGACAAGACCGTGCTCATTATGCATAAATTGTCGCTGCGAAACTGCACTGAATTATGGCAAAGTTAATGGCATTATAATGCCAAAACGCTGACATCTGCCCGAGCCAAGTGGAGAGAGCTAACCCAAGATATTTCAAGTTGGCCAAGGGCAAGTGTGCCATAATTCCGTGGCAATTCGAAACGTTTTTAAAGCCCGAAACTGTGGCTCCTGTTTCTTGGCTGCTGTTGTCGTTGACTTGTTGCCCCGAAGGTGGACACACGGAACGGGCAAATGACCCTCGTTTGTTGTCCTCCGACGCAAACACAGGTCACCGATGTCCACCCACACATGGTCTCGCAGACTCAGACAAACACCTTTCAGCCCTCAGACCCTCAGACTCTTTGGCCATAATCTTCCTTTTTTATCGCGAGTCTGAAGTCACGGGACACGGATTTAAGGCTACACTATAAAAATATTTAAAATTCTCTTTAAGAGAAAAGAAAATCTGTATTCTATAACTATATTGTAGATTTTAAATGGCTTAAGTTATTATAAAATATTTAATAATTGAAAAATGAAATAATACCATTCATTATTGATCATATTGTAGTTGCTCCATTTATTTTTTTTTAGTGTAAAACCACAACAACATTGCTTGTTGTCCTCCTTCGTTGCCATCGACTTGTTACCGCGCTGTGTTTTTCCGTATACATATATGGGTATACTTCCTGCGAACGCCGCATGCCGCCACCGCAAACTTGCGGCACTGAGCCCTGTTTTCACTTCCGGTTTCCGGTTCGCCCCTTGCCCCTCCCCCTCCCCCACCCCCTTCGCACCCTCACCATGGCTAGATGCCGTTAACTTGTTTTGATTTTTTAATGGCTCGCCTGGCGACAGCAACAGGAGCATTTAAGCTTTCATAACTCTTATCTTAAAGCCCCGAACCTCCAAAAAGTTGAGGGACCAAACTCTCGAATTTCCTCTCCAGTTGTGTGAAAATGTATATTTTTTCGAAATACCTTGGGTGACTTTTGTCAAATAAGGAACAACGGAATGGAATAGTGAAGGATACACGGCATTTGACATGGTGTAGCTCTGAGTCTGATCTTTTGTCATGCAAATTGTTGAACAAGCAAAGCGGGATGTCGACGGTGACGTTGATTGCTCATGAAGTCAAATTAAAAGCAAACAATACATGGATCTTAGCTTCTGTCAGTGAATACCCTATATGTTTTTTAAAAATATATAAATATTATAAGAAAAACTTGAAAAGATGGTAATACAAAAATTGTTATTTGTGATAAAGGGGTAAATAAATATTTCAGTTGTATTTGCAATAATATTTAAATAAATAATCATCACCCATATTCAAATAGTAGTAGTAAAAACATTTACTTAACAATTAAAGGCCATAATAATTACTGCTAACAAATTTTATGAACAGGTTAATTTTTATGATCCAGATCAGCGATTGTTCCCTAATCCACTGCTGATAAACATTCCTTGTAAGTAGGGGATATTCCCAGGATCAAGGAGGTAACTTAACGCGGCGTGGCTTACCTTCCAGCCCATTTCCCCTTTACCTCCATTAACCATTTCCATGTTGTTCGCATGCAACTTGAGTAAAAAACAAAAGAGCTGCCAACAGGCAACAACAAAAGCCGCCGTGGAGCGGGAAAATGGTGAAAGAAATACAGTTGACGTTAAAGGGGAAGGCACACACAAGTCAAGTCAGAAAACTTTTGTTCCTGGCATTGTTCCTGCTGTTGTTGTTGCCTTTGTTGTTGCCATTGTTGTTGCCACTGTGTTGCTGTTGGTGTAATTGCTGCCAAGTAGGAGGTGCCCAAGTTCAGAGTCCTGTGCAGAGTCGTCGATTTTAATTACGTATGCAATTTATTTATTACCTCTGCCCGGAAATATTGTGCAATTGTGTTGCTCTTGCTCTGCGGATGTGCCACAAAGCCCCAACAGGAAAAAGGGGGCGTGGCAGGGCAGCAAAGATTTAACATGCGGTTATGAAGTTACTTTTAATTTTCACAATTGAGTCCTGTCAGAAAATGCAGTGCAGGCACAAAGTGTTTAAAGTTGAGGAGAACTTGAGATATCCAGGTATATGATACATACATATTTAACATATATATGTTCTTTTGAAATAAAAGTTTTTTGTTTCATAATAAACTATGTTTGCTTCATATAAAAATACTTTTACGAATTCATACGCTTTTTCTTTAAGCCTTTCCGTTCCTTTATTAAGCATTTTTAATTTCCGGACTTAACTTCTACAATCAAATTATTTATGATAAATGATTCGCCTAACTGGGAACTATGAGAACCCAGCGAAAGTAGCAAAATTCCCGCCCAAGCAAAACCACCATAAATTAGATTACGAAAGCTCAGAAATAGTCCTGGCAAAAGAACCGTGACCATATGCATGGCGTGTGTCCAATAAATTAGCGTTTTCATTAGGAAAAACAAGTGAAATTTGTTCACAATGTTGTCGTTGTTAGGAGCGAAGCACACACATGAACCGCGAACCTAGTCCAAATTGGTTGCATTACTTGATTAGTGTCCGCGCAATGCTGTTATTAAAATTCAATCTAAAATTTAGCCCCCTCAGAAGTTGGAGTCTCGTGAGCTGATTGCATGTCTAATCGAATTTAACAACCTTTTGCAGTGTGCATATGGCAACAGGAGTAGCGAGGAAATTAACGAATTTCATATTAAGTGCAAATTCCGGCCTCTAACTCGTGTCATGCAACTCTGATTTGAAGTCGCTCTAAGCTTTTCCTTCCACTCTAATGTCATTTGCATGTTGATCACGTGACCAGAGTCTGGAAAGCACAGAAATCCCTAGAATAAAATCCCTACTGGGTTAACCAACTTGTAATATAAATGTTTTAAAAATGTTAATAATATTAAAATTAAGTATTACATTTGCTAAAGTTTAAATACTAATATGGTTCATTATAAACTACAAATCGAATTGTTTTTATCATAGTATACGATGATTTTATGATATGATTACCACCTCTTCGTAGTGTGCTAAAATTGTTGCCTTTTACAGATGTGCAAGCCCGATAACTTATCGAAAACACAACCTTGCAAAAAACATAGCAGGCGTAAATTCGATTTAGCTGTCAAAATTTTGGAAATTACAAGTCACTGCAAAATAAATCTTGGCGGAGCAAGAGCCATATTCAGAGAGCCCTAGGGTGCGTTGAAATAAATTAATTAAACACGAAGCAGCAGACATCTAAAGATATTCCGCAGATAACCAGCAGGAGGGATACCTAAAAAAGAACCAACGATGTCGGATCGCAAGGCGGTTATCAAGAATGCGGACATGAGCGAGGAGATGCAGCAGGATGCTGTCGACTGTGCCACCCAGGCACTGGAGAAGTACAACATCGAGAAGGACATTGCCGCCTTCATCAAGAAGGAGTTCGACAAGAAGTACAATCCCACCTGGCACTGCATCGTGGGCCGCAACTTCGGATCGTATGTGACCCATGAGACGCGTCACTTCATCTACTTCTACCTCGGCCAAGTGGCCATTTTGCTCTTCAAGAGCGGCTAAATATCAACATAAACCGCACACCAAATGGCCACCATCGTGGTTTTCCGGAGGAATATGCAGAAGATTGCTGCACCTTTAATCATCATTCTCTGGCAGCTTACAGTGGGCCCGATACTTCAATTCCTGTTCATGCGCATATATTTCTCTTTTTGAACTGTGACCCCAACACACGGTTGCTGAACTTTCCGTATAATATTTTTCGCCAAATTCTAAATTATTTCCCCGTGGTGCCTTCCCTATTATAACATTTATTAAATTGAATGCTTTCCCTTTGTCTTGTTCTTTTTTAACATATTTTTAAGAAAATTAGTCGGCTGAAAGAGGGGTAAAATATCCTCACAATAATTTAATTATAGCTATTTTTAGCTTGAATAAATTTGACTTGTCAAATAAACTTTAAATAAATAACAATTATGATGGTACATGATTTAAAATATGTTGAATACTGAGTTTTATTTTGTGACCAGTGCACATATTATTAGAGTTAAGTAAATAAAACCAAACCTATTTTCATTTGAAAAAAAGAGCAGCAATGGGTAATCGGTTTTATTTAATATCTGAAACCAACGACAAACTAACCTATTTTGGTATATTTTTGTAAGTGTGCTAGCACTTTAATCGCACATTCCACCTTGCATTTTCTTTGTTGATTCAGCCGGACCTGGACACATCGGATAATGCTTTTTGGGTTAATTCCTGCATTCATAATGTCCTTCGAGTTCATCACAAGGCAAACAATGGGCAAAGTGCGGGAGATTTTCGGGCTGATGATGCAGCCTCACCTGGCTGGGGCCCAATAAAAATTGCTTAATTAAGTTAATTAAAATATTGTCGCTGTCCGTTGTGCTTCCATGTGCTGGCGGCGGTGGCATTTATGCGCTTTTATTATCACTGCGATTGGCCAATTTCGGGCAGGACATCGTTGGGGTAATTATGCCAGCTCACGTCCAGGGCCGCAATAATAATCATAAAAATAATATTAATAAAGTTCGCAACGGGTGAGAATATATTTTGCGAAATACTTTTACACTTGGCCGGCAGGCGCAACATATGAAAATGTTCGTTTTTTTTCTGGTTTTTCGAGTGGGTGTTTATAGTTGGTTTGAGCCGCTTTCACAGTTCGACGACTTTTGGCCTTGTCCCCCCGATTTTCCGACAGCTGGCTCCCATTTCTGTTTTCCGAACTCCTGCATCCGTATTTCGATGGGGATCGGTCGGTCAGTCAGACAGATTCTCATGCATATTTCATGGCTCGCTTAAATACGGCAGCGGATACGAATTTAATGCCACACTTGAAGGCCAAAGCGAGTCGTAAAAATTTAAGTGCCACGCAATCAGTTTTACGCTCTCTCAGACAAAGCCTTTATTAATTTTTTTACTTTTGTGTAATACAAACATTTTTATACATATTTTTTTATGCATTTCCGTATTAAAAATAATGCTTCAACAAATGTCTGGGCTTCTCTGAATATTACTGCCCACCTTTCGACCTCCTGCACATCCTTCTCCCACTTATTTCATATTTGAAGTGAAGTTTGAACTCTGCCCAGCAGCTTCTCTGTCTTCCTGCCGCATCTCTGCTTTCACTGGGCTGAATGAGTAATGGCATTTGCTACTCCGATATGAGTTGAGTCTGCGCATTCGAAAAAGGAGACTATGTGGGCATTTTGAACCAACGAGAAGGTAGATGGCGCCAGCGAGAAGTTCATCGGAAGTTCTCGCCGAATTTACAGATTGTTTCAAACAAGCGTTTTCGAAATTGGTAAAATACGTTAACAATTTTTAAATTAAAATTAAATTGTATATAATAAATTGTCTATAATAAAGTGAACAGTAAATACAATACGGTTTTAAAAACTAAAAAAATTTTTTGAGAATGTTTCATTACATTACATTAGATGTTTGTTAAGAGAACTTGCTTGTTTTCATTACAATTTTATTATTTATGCTGCTTTTAAGACTAACTAATCTTAAAATTAAATTTCTTTTTTTTTGTAAATCTTGAAAAATAATATTTCCAGTTAAATATTAATGTCCTCCTCAAATATAATTTTAAATGAACTTCCAACTGAAAAGCCGCGTTTTCTGATCTGCATTAATTTATACCCCGCATGTAAACCGCCGAAGATGAATTATAAAATCTGCTGGTACATATAGTTTTTGCAGACCCATGCCTTTGTTTTGCTCCCACATAATTCCAATTTAATCTCGCATAGTCGCATTCACTCTTTACAGCCAACATCAAGTGACTACAAATGAGCAAAACTCTTGCCCCTTTTTGGCGCCCAGAGTGGAAAAAATGAACAAAACTTTTATAAATTACTGTCAGTAGCAGTGACCTCAATATAAAATTGCACAACATAACTTGAACACACACCGATGCACACAGACAGTGGAACAATTGTGAGTGCAATAGATACGAGTGTAATTGCATTTTACTTGGACGCCGAGCTAGAAAAACCAAAACCAAAACCAAACGAAACGAAACCCAACCGAACAGACCACAGAAACATACGCACATGGAAATGTAAACTTTTTGTGACCTCAGCAATATAATTATTGCCATTTTTTGTATGTACAGCACATGTGAGCCAGCAAAAGGGGTCAGTCCAAAGTCAACATTAGTTTTATCACAGCCCGGAGTCCAGAGCAGCAAACGCTCGACAATGGCAAAAAATCTTAATGAAACACAAACAGGGACGTAGGTGGTGCACAAAACACAAAACAGAGCACAGCAAACAAACAATAAAAACCGCACTGTATAAAAAGTCACAGCCCATTTTCATTAAACAAAAAATAAATGTTCCGAATTTGTACCAAATTAAAATGGAAACATTACTTTTGTGCTCGGCAGCGAAGTTGTTCTACTCTGTAAAATGTTGTCAGCATTTAGAGGAAAGACATTGTTACTTTAAAGTTTTCTGTGATTTTATTAAATGGGACCTGTTATTAAATAATAACAAAATAGTACAACTATCAAATTAACATTTAAACAATCCCTTTGTTACTTTCTATATAATGCCATTTAATGTCAGCTTATCATTTAAAAACAATATTATAATACTTCAACTCTACTGCTATCCAAAGAATATAATTAACTGTAGCAAATTTTTATTTAACAACCTTCTACACATAAAAATGGTGTAGACGTGGTCAGTGAATTTCCATAAACCCATTTCGCTGGATAATCGCCCACATAAACAAAAATAATCGCAAAACTGGCAAACGAGAAAAGCGCAAAAGACGAAGAGATGGGATTTTCCTCGGCGGAAGTTGCATGCTTCTTCATGGTTTTTGCTCCTTTTTTCGGGGTGGTGTGATGAATGAGGCTGCAAGGAGCCACAAGGACACATGCAGAAGTCCCCCACTTGGGGAGTCGATTTTTCATTTGGCTTATGTATCATCAAGCAGAGCTTGTCTCGTGTCCCTTCCTTTTGGCCACTATCTCTGCCCGACCAATTCCATTGTCGTCAACGAGGCTCTTCTCCTGCCACTTTTCTGTTTTGCTACCACTTCTAAGCTCATTTCTTGGCTTAAAACCGGATTGGTGTGTCCATTTGTTACCATTGGTGGCTTTAAATCGTTGAGTTTCCAATGTGAAAGTGTAAATTGTAATTGTAATAAAGACATTTTTATCAAAGATTAATCAACATTAAAAAAACGTTATCTATTACCGGGTATCATTCAGTCTAAAAGCTTTGTAGTTTTCTGGTTTACCAAACTCCCATTGTCTCTTTAGAGTTCTCCACTGCTTTTTTTCTGGTTTTATTTTCTATATTGTGTCCTTTGATAAATTGTGCGCTTCTCGTTTTGACACATGTCAGCGTTTGTCTGCCCAATGCGAGGAACAAGTCTTTCGGGCTTGTCTAGGCTGGTCTGAAAATCCTCGGAGGTTATCGTCCTTTTTTACATTTCAATTTTGTCATGCTTTTTCTTACATTAAAGTGCGGCCGAACCTCTAACCTCAGCCTGATCTTTGACTTAAGTGTAGTTTTTGTAACATTTCAGGCGTGTGTGTTGGTTGCAGTCAACTTGTTGACATTTTCAGGCCTGTCACAGGACTCTGAAGTCCTGCGTCTGAGATCCCGAACCTGTGTCCTGTCAGTGTCCGGGTCCTGCGTCCTGTGTCCTATGTCCTGGCTCCATGTTCGTGTCCGTGTCAGGCGTCACTTTATGCCCCTGACAGCGGCAACAATTTTATTTACTTAATTTGGCTTTAGTTTGTCATTTATTTACTTGTTTGCCACAACAGTTGGTCAAAGTGACCACCTCACGGTCCCACCTCCGAATCCTGCACCATATCTCCAGTCCCAGTTCTTCGTGTGCGTCCTGTTGTTGTCACTTTGACGCTGACGTTGATGTTCCCGCCTTTGGTTTTATTTCCGTACATGGGGCATAGGGAAATTAGGATCTATTTGGCCTTTTATTTAACTAAAGAACTGCCTTTCAGCTGCAGTCTTGTATAGAAAAAGGCTTTTAGAATAAATTAACAATGATATAAACAGAATGCAACGTCATATATTAAATCAATTATCGCCTTATTTTGACACAAAGGATAAGAACAATTTTTGAAAGCTTTTGGGACTGAATAAGCTCAAAACACTATTCAAGCCTTTAATTTACATTCCACTAGAGTAGCAATTTTTAATTTAATTTTCTTTTGGCTAATTTCGCGAATATTTTGTTAGTTTAATAAAAGTAAGTTAACTTTGATTGTTTAAATGTATTCTAAAAATTGAATATTAAAGTTTTTAGCTCAATCCAAAGGTTACAACACTCATTTAAAATAAAACTATTTGTGATAATAGTTTTATTCTTATTACCATAATAATTTTTCTGGTGAAGTGTATCCTTTATTCGTTTTGGCCATCCTTTATAGACCACCATTTGGTTTTATTTGTAACACGGTGACACATTTTGCTGCCCGCACTTTATTGCATATCGTTGTCGGCTGTTGTCGGAGCGTGGCATTGAATTTTTTATGAAAATTTAGAGCAAAGTTGCTGTTTCCTTGTTTTTTGTTTGCCTGCCGTTGATGCCACTGCTGCTGTTGCACTTTGGTACCTTAATTAAATATTTATTTCAATCATTTTCGGCAAATGGATGGACACCATGGGCAGAGGTACGAAAATCCATTCATCGCCGAAGTGAGACCTTCAGATAAAGGAGGCGGCAGATGTGGACTGGGGGCGTGGCATTCGGGGGCACTAACATTTGTCATTACACATTAATAGCGCACCATTAATCTTTTTCGTGGGCCGAGAGCACGGGGTTCAGAATGAATGCCTGGCCGGGGTTTGGACCTGAATCTGAACTTGGATCTGGACCCGAGTCGCCTGTCGCACAAAACCGTTAATTAATGTATGCCATTTAGCTGGAAAATTGCAAAAGGGACACACACTCACGTACACAAATTGGTTTAAGAGCTAGAGGTGGTGGCGTGAAATCGAAATTACGGATAAAATATAATTAAATCTGTAGTTGTAAACATGCTTAACAACTTATATTTGTTATAGTTAAATTAAAAGAAAAGAAATAATAAGAACTCGAAACAATTACAATTACTTATTAAATAAATAAAAAATTTACTGTGGTTAAAAGGTTAAGAAACTCATCATAAAATAAAATCATTAAGAAAATAATAAGACAAATTTCATTGATCGTTTTATTACATTGTAATGGTACCCTAAAATTTATTTATTGAAATTCAAACATTTTAAAAGTAATTATAATGGGCAGCAGGGCAACAAGAATAAGAAATAAAGATATGTGAAAAGAAAAAAATTTGTTGAAATACTTATTATTATAATTCAAAATTAAGAATTTTTATTGTTGCTCTATTTGACTATAAGTTGATTTAATAAGTTTTCCCAATTAACATTGGTACTATTTAGGAAATAAAATGAGTCCAGTCGATTGGTGTTAATAATATTGCTTATAATATTTATCATAAATATTGCTTGGAAACTTTTTGTCACCACTAACGCATACGTGTTATGCCAGCCCATCATAATGAGCGGCAATTTAGTGCCCTTTTGAATGGTGGTGGATGTGGGGCTGAGCCACTGGACGGGTGGGTGGCACTTTGGGTGGTTCGTCGTTGTCGCCACCGCAAACAAGCAAAGGCAGAAGCCGCAGAGGCGGGGAAAAGGATCGGGGATTGCCATTGCCCAGCAGGTATGCTTGATTAATGCTTTATAACAAGGCTCGCACAAAGCACGCACTGAATGCACACCCACGCCCACACAAACCACTGGATGGCGGTCCAACGCCCATCTACCCACACCTCACCACCCACCTCCTGCACCCCTGCATTTTAACATTAATTTAGCGGAATGCTGCAGAAGACGATGAAAAGCTTTTCAGCATTCGTCGACACATGTTAATCCGTGTTGTTGTAATTGCCTTCCGCTGGTGTACCCAAAATCCCAAAAACACTTGAAGCTCTGCAACAATGGGGATTTCGATGGAGCGTATTGATGCAATATATCAAATTAAATTAAAATATTTTATACAATACTATTTTATACATCAATAACTTTACGGAATAAAAAAATTGTCTTTAACCGACTTTAAATTTTTAGAAGTTTCGAATTGAGCTTAAGTATCGTATTAAATTTTAGTCAGGAAATCCCTTAAATTTATATTTATTTGTATAATACAAAAAAATGTTCCATACTTACTTTCCTTTTTTCCCTTTAATTTCTTTGTGATTTAAGAATTACTTCCCTTTCTTTGCATTTTCCGACTGCAAAGTGCATATTTCTTTGCATCTGAGATTCCCCTGCGGCCCTTTGTTAGCCTAATTAAATTAAGACATTAAAAACTTGCAGATCTTATTTGAGCATCATACTTTTGACACTCGCGATTATTATTATTTTTTCCTCATGGCACTTTCCTTTTTATATGATTTTGCTTTAACTATTTTTTTTTGCATTTGCATTTCTGCTGAGCTTTTCGCCCTTGAGTGCTTCCTGTGGCGTTCGTTCATTAGGCGAAAGCGGAAGAAAAGCCAGGGGAAAAGTTGCAAAAATGTAAGGCTAAAAAAATGTGTCCAAAGAGTTAAAAGGTTTATTTACTTTGCGCCGACTGACGTTTTAACGTAATGTTGAATTCAAGGTTCGGGGGCTGGAGCCACATTTTCCGAGTTGAACATTAAGTAATTATAAGTTGCCCAGGAGTTGGCTGAAAGTTGCAAGTTGGCATCTGCAACTAGGCAAACATATTGCATGTCTACACCCTTGTAGACACTGGCGCACACTGCGTATGCGTAATGTGTTGAATAATTAAATTGTCAAACAATTGGCTTCTGGCAGAGAGACAGTGGAAAGATGACGACAAGAAAATGCTGAACCTAGCCGGGATTTATATTGTCTTGCAGTGCGAATCCTGTGCCAGAGAATGGAAATCGCTTAATCATCTTTAATTGAAAGCACTTGATGAGCTAGTCAAATGCCAATGAACAATGAACAACGAACAAAGGACGATTCAAACAATCGGCATTATTTATAATGCTTTTTAATCTCCATCTGAATTTGCATTTTGCTTTTTTTTCTACGAGTGTGTGCTGGCAAATTCATTGCTCGCTGATAGGATTCAATTTCCTTGTCATCATGACGTTTTTAATTAAACTGTATTTATTATTTAGCAGATAAAACAAACAATTCCCTTTCAATAGTTTATAATGCTAAGTCGGCTTATCGCTGTTCAAAGTTTTGGGAATCAATTTCGGTTCAAACAAATGTGTTGAGAAATGGGATTCAATTAAATGGGATTTTATTTGACTAGAAGAGACATCTTTTAATAATAAAATAATGAACTCTAGCATAATAATGATTTCCATGCTGATGATTTCTCTCACTGAAGACCGAATTCCAAAAGCTTTTAGTCAGATTGGCTGGATTTGAAGTTGGATAGGGAGAATACTTAACCGCAAATCTGTTGAGTTGTGAACTACGTATGCATGGGATTGGAATAATAAAATATAGATGGACTAAAATGAAATTTAAGTTGATGATTATGGCTTTATTGATTGAAAAGTGGTTAAAGTATCACAATTAACTGTTTATGGCTTAAAAGTTTTAATATTTACTTTTGTATAATGTAAAATTGACTAAGTCTTACTAGCTGCAATACAGTAAAATATACAAAAATTTGTTTAGGCAACTTCCTCGCCTTCATCTTCTTCCTCTTCTCCCTCATCTGCAGCCCCATCTTCAGCAGCTTTTCTCCTTGCCGCGGAACTCCTTCGACTTCCTCCAGATTTCTGGGAACTTCGGCGACTTGCTCCCTTGGATTTTCTAGGTGGCGGTTCCGTGCAGCTGTACGCCGGCATATTGAACTCCTCGGGATCGAATTCCTCCAGGGTTTCCAAACGCACGGTGGCCAACTCCGACCAGCAGCAGGGAAGGTCCTTCTCGGCCAGCATCACCACTTCCAATCGAGCATCCCTGGCTGCCTGGACTCCTTTGGGAGTGCCATCGAAGACCAGGGTGCAATCCGGTCCAGCATCCCCCAGCCGGGACATGGCAATCAGGTAGACATCCGGTTCCGGCTTGAAAGCCCTCAGCTCCGGATCGTCCGCACAGATCACCGATGTGAAGTTATCGAAAAAGTCCTCCCGATCACGGATCTTGGTGCAGTACATCGATTCCGAGCAGGAGGTGACCAATCCCAATCCCATGCAACATTTACGCAAATGAGTGACCAGTCGCATAACACCAGGCATCAAGGTGGGATTCGCAATCAAATCGGAGGTGCGTTCGTTCAGCTGATAGCGAAAACTCTCCCAACTCACGGGCAAATCGCATTTCCGGCAAATCAGCTCCGCCATTTCAGCCGTTTCCATGGGTCCGCTTTGGATCAGCAAATGTTCGGGTACCGTCCTATTGTAACTCGAGGCCAGCTCAATTAGAGCCCTCTGATAAACGTGACGAGTGTCTGCAGAGAAGGTCCAGTCTTAATCAAATCTATAAACTCATTTTGAAATTACTATCTCACCAAAAACCGCACTCTCCAGATCGAAAATGCAGAAGCTAATCCCCGGACTGCAACACATCGGTGGACAACGGGAGCATTCCGGTGGAGCTTTGCATGCCTTACAGCAAGGACTGCACATATTTGCACTGGAACACAAGGACTCTACCGCAGAAAGATTTACACAAATTTTTCCAAATTTTCAATTTATTTATTCTATGAATTTTGGCCTAACACTGACGTTTGTAGCAAAGCTACATTTTCGACTGCATCACGATCGCACATCTAAATGAGACAGATTCTATCTAACCAAATGATGTTACAAAATTAAGTAATGTGCATAGGAAATTTGCTTTAATGACTTTAACTTTGATTAATTTAAACCCTCTGAGAACGGGCCTGCCGAATTCTCCGCCTTTCATGATAGCTGGAAAAACAAAGGTTTATAATACAGATACGGAAGATATGGCTCTATTTTTGTGACTTACCTTTCCCTCACCAGTTTTAGCGTGCTCCGCCTCATAATAAGCACCACAAAAATTATAATACCCAAAAAGTGATTATAAATGCTAACAGCTAAAAACAACGGCCTAAACAATTCGCTTATCCAAAGAAAAAAATAAACGCCATCCAGAATCCAAGATGCGCCCATTAACACAGAGATCCGCGTAAACTGTAGAAAACTGTGATTGGAAAACGGAATTAACATTATGCTTGACAAATTAATTTAGAAGCTAATTACGTTTGAGTGTCCAAATTGAAGCAGGTTGTCGTTGTCTCATCACGCTCCTTAAAGCTATTTAGTTCTCTTTTAACTTTCACCATATGAATAGCCGTGAGGATAAACATGATCGCATTGAAGATATATATGATCGGTAACGGAAAAAGACTAAGAACAGTCGGCAGTAATTCTAGAATCAGATAAAAATAGCTTCATAAATTCAATTTCCTTTTGAAAACTTCTATAACTACTACTTTTCATAGCTCGAACAATAATGAGTTGCAAAAATTAAATTAGCTTAAGATTAATTTGGAGCCTTTTGAATTTTGAAACTTTTACTAACTTCACTGAAATTATAATACCCTCTGCAAAGGTATAACGATAATATAATATATACTTTTGAATTTATCGTCGTAAGGGGGCTTAAGTTATGAAAAATCATTAAGCATTCTGTAAAATTACCTTCACCGAAAGCGAATACTAAAAGTGGGTATATCAATCCAAGGAAAACGGGATAAAAAAAAGAAGTCAACCAGACAAAAGCGCTGTATTTCAGAAACTGATGAGAGGATTCTTCGATGCCGAGCTTAGTGAGCATTTTCCACATGTAACAACTTATAACGGAGAGCCAGAGATTGTAAGCCGTTACGAAGAAGAAATAGATGTAACCTGAGAGTGATCAAAAATATTAATGTGTAGATACACCGTCAAACGTCCAAAATATATAGAACAAATTTGAATAAATTTTAAACGACTAACTTATTGCAAATTTTATAGTGTAGTTTTTAATTTCAAAATATATATGGAATGTAGTCAGATTATAGAAAAACATGCAGAATAGGCTGCTTATAATGCACTTTCCGAGCACATTTCGAAGCTGCTTTACGTAAAGATACACTGCAATCGTGAGGATAAGGCATGTCATCGATATCAATTGGGCTGAAAGAAAGAAAACATAGATGAAATGGCAGTACGAAAATTTGCAATTTCTTTTAATGAACTTGTCCACAATGAGTCTTCAATATTCGATAAACTCTGATTTGTGACACTGTTTGTTTAAAGAATTATAAAAATAGGGCTAGTTTGTTTGGGTTTGAACACTTATTCACAATATTCTGATAATTTAAATAGGAACTGTACCGATCGTAACCAAAAGGGTTTCCATTTTGAATCCACAACCTGCCACATGCACTGGCAAAACTCGACTGAATCTGAAATTCAGATTGCTTCGCTTTTAAGCAAAAAAACCGATCTGGTTCTCCTGCTACCAAATAACACTAAGAAATGAAATCAAATTTTAACATCTATTAGAAACTCTCCTTCGGCACAAAGCACAATTTTAATTAAGTCCAGGGTAAGCCACTGAACACGTTCAATTCCCTTTGCTCCCATTATAAAATTCGTTTAGCGATTAAAAAACAAATGCAGCTTCCACGGCATTCGACAAAAATTGTATATATTATATTAATTAAGATCAAGGGAATAAGTTTACATTTTTGTTTAAATTTGGCAATATTTATAACCAATTCGCTACCCAAGTTTTTGCCCACTGGGTAAAATTAGTTGAAAATAGGTTCATTTTAGAAACAATTCGCAGCAGTCGAACCCCAATAAAAATAAAATGTAATTCCCAGTTTTCCCATGGGCCATTGGAGTGTCGAAGCTCAGAGAAATCTACTTTGGTTCTCTTATAGCTTAAATCGTTTTTGAACGATAATTAAAAGTGGGGAAAAGGATATATTTCCTAAGTACTTCAGTAGCGTATCATTACCTATTGCAATCATAGTTAATTACAGTTTCTGCGGATATCTGTCATGATGAACGTAGGTCAAGTCTCTTGTATTGCTGATCAAAATAATACAACTTTATAGGTCCTAAGAACACCTAGCTGCAAAACACACAACTGAAAAACCATTTAAAAAAAATTAAAATTATGCTTAAATAAATTGCGATTAAATTTTAAGCACTTAACGAGACTTTTGCTCTATACAAAGAAAGCTCGCAATCAACTCGAGTTAATTTTATTTTGTTGTGTGAATAAACCGCAAACAAAAAATATTATTTTACATTTTAAGTAACAACAGATTTTAACACATTGGGCTTTCTATTAAAAATATTTTTATTAAGTTAAGATGAAGTTATTCTCTTAAATTCAAGATGGATGGGTCTGCGATGGCGATGAGTGGTGGTTCCTCCGGCGGCGGTTCCTCCTCTTCCTCCTCCTCCTCCGCAGCGGCGGCTTCGGCGGCTCTTCTGCGGATTACAGTCAATCGTCGACTGTACCTCGTCCGTCGACGACTCGGTCGCCTCAGCGGAGAAGGATCCGTGAACGGGGGCATGTGGAACATCTCCGGCTCGAAGTCATCCAGGTACTCGAAGCGCAGGGCGGCCAATTCGGACCAGCAGCAGGGGAGATCTTTTTCGGCCAACATAATGACGGGCAGTCGGGCATCGCTGGCAGCCTGAACTCCCTTCGCGGTTCCATCGAAGACCAGGGTGCAATCCGGTCCAGCATCCCCCAGCCGGGACATGGCAATCAGGAAGACATCCGGTTCCGGCTTGAAGGCCCTCAGCTCCGGATCATCCGCACAGATCACCGATGAGAAGTTCTCGAAGAATTCCTCCCGACCGCGGATCTTGGCGCAGTAGTTCGCCTCCGTGCAGGAGGTCACCAGCCCCAGTCCCATGCAGCAGCTGCGCAGATGGGTCACCAATCGCTCAACACCATCCATTAAGGGGGGATTTGCAATCATCTCGGAGGTGCGTTCGTTTAGCTCCAAGCGAAACGTCTCCCAGCTGATTGGCATATCGCACTTTCGGCAAATCAACTGCGACATCTCTGAAATCGTCATGGGCCCACTTTGGATAAGTAAAAGTTCTGGTATCCTCCTATCGTAGCTCGTGGCCAGCTCCTTTAGAGCCTTCCGTAGAACGTATCGGGTATCTGAGCGGGTAATAATGGCTATTTATAGAAACCATAACTATTTCTGAGATAATCTCACCAAATACTGCAGTCTCCAGATCAAAAATGCAGTAGCTAATTCCCGGACTGCAGCACGAAGGTGGACAACCGCAGCATTCCGGCGGATCTTTGCAAGGAGTGCACATCTTGCTTCAACCAAAAGGACTCGAAGGACCAGAGCGATTCTACGACTGGAGGACAATGATGAATTTTCTTTAAATTTAAATCTACATTATCCGAAAACTGGCCTAATAATGAGGGTTGTGACAGTTGAAACTATGTTAACCATGACTTGTTTTAGTTGAAAAACAGAAAAGTCAGTCTGGCTATTTCCGATTTTTAATCTGAAATGATTTTTTTTTAATAAATAAAGAGAGCTCTCGATGAAACACATTTAATTCAACACTCTACAAAGGTGGTAGTCCAAAATATTGCGGTTTAAAGCCCTCCAATGATCGCAGCCTCAAAGTGGCCGGAGCACTTGCTCGGATGGAGACCAGCGGATCGGGAACGAGGACCACTTGCATTCCGGCGGCCAGTGCTGCCTCCATTCCCACCAGCGAAGACTCGAAGACGAGGCATTTGCTCGGCTCCGGGGAATCCTCGAAACGAGAGGCTGTGGCTAGGAAAACATCTGGAGCCGGCTTTCCCTCCTTGACCTCCTCGTCGGAGCCACTCAAAACCACATGATGGAAGACTTCAAATAGCCGGGAATGCCGCCGTGTCTTTATCCTGTACGAATCCCGACAACTGCCACATCCGATGGCCATGGGCACATTGAACCCATCTAGGTGCTTCAAAAGGCGCTCCACACCTGGCATTAACCGGATAAAACCCAATTTACTATGACTTTGAAGTTCGTGTTGAGCCTCGAACTCAGAGCGACTGAAGGGCAGATTGAAAGTGTTCACAATGAGTTCGGCCTGCTCGGCGTCCGGTTTTCCCATGCACCGCATCTTAACATCGAAGCTATATGTGTGACCATAGGGTTCCAGGATCTTTTGGACGCATTCAGTTCGCAGACGTTCGCTGTCTATCAGCAGGCCATCCAACTCGAAAATGCAGTGGGTGACGGGCTGAAAGGAACAGCGCCTTGAATGCGACCTAACGCCTTGATCCTCCTCCGACATATTACTATACTTTAATTTTGATTTATTTTATTTTTTTAAAGATCTAGCAATTTTGAGGGATAAATTCAGACTGCTAGTCAGCCAAATTCGAACTTGGAGCAGTTGCCAAAGGCGGGGAGGCCAAATAGCTCGGGCTTGAATTCCGTCATCGATTTGAGGACCAAACTGGCGCCCTTTCTTTGCTCCTTGGTCACTGGGACCTGGGGTATGAAGACCACCTGAGAACCAGCTGCAACACCAGCTTTTAGGCCATTCGGAGCATCCTCGAATACCAGGCACTTCTTGGGATCCGCGGGGGGGTTAAACCTCGAGGCGGCCAGAAGGAAGATGTCCGGCTGGGGTTTTCCCCTGCCAATTCCCAATCTAGGATCATCTCCACAGACGACGTGATGAAAGGCCAGCATAATATCCTTGTGTGGCTTGGCCTTCCGCTTGAAAAGTTCCCTCGCCGAACTTGTGGCAATGCAGAAGGGTATGCGGTATTCGTGCAAGTGGAGAACTAAGTCCAGAACACCTGGAAGCAGCGGCACATTTTCCATTTTTTTAAAGGTACTTGATTCGAATGTTTTGGCGAACTCCTCTTTCGTTATTGGCAAATTCAATTCCCTCACGATGACGTCAGAAAAAGAATCCAATGGCATTCCCAAATGGCGAGCCTGATCGGCATGGGTATAAGTTTTGCCATAAGGAGCTAAAATCTCTTGGATGGTTTTTAGATAGATTACTTCGCTATCTGAAAAGAGGAATAAATATGTGATAGTTACGGATAGGCTGTAATACGATTTAGTGAATAGAATTGGCTTTAATTATTATAATAGTATTATGATTTAAGTGATTTATGATTTTAAAGTTAAGGAATGACAATACCTATCAAGGTTCCATCGCAATCGAAGATGACGTGGGTGACGGGACAATAACATTTTCTAGAAGGCATTTTTAAGCTGGTCTATTTAGTTGGTCTCTTTGGACACCCCTTCTTCTCACAACATGCTTATCAATTTGGTTGGTTAATTTTGAAGAATATAATTTGTTTTATAATCCAAAAACCAAGTCCGAAATTTTGTCATTTAAGTAAAATATGTTGACAGCGTATGGACAGGTCGTCATGTTGACAACCATCATTTATTTTCTTTTTTAGATAAGAACAAGTTTCTTTAAATACGATTTGCTTAAGCTGGAGCGTTCGCATTTGACTATCGTTTTCTTCTGCGTCTTTTCTGGATTCCTGGCACTTTTATATATTTAGCCAAGTCTAATGCATGCGGTGCACGCTTTTCGGCCAAGATCCCGCTGCCGTTCGCATGTTGTTACAAAGTTGCGTAATTGATTAAGCAGTTGGCAGCCAGGCCGCAAGAGACGTTTTCAGCAACGCGTCGCCGAAACTTTGGCTTTGGCCAATACGTGCCACAAAATTCGAATGGCGAATGGGTGGTGCAGGCAGCCTGTGGCAATGTGGGCAAAAGTTTCTGCGGCGGGTTGAGTGGGCGCGGTGTGTCAAAGGTGAATGCGTCGCGATGCTTGATTTTGGGACGGGTTTAATAGCCAAACGTACCGGGGCTTCATAAAACGAGTTAACGAAAATGTTTGTGCAGTTTGAAGACTTTGGGAGAACGTTGACAATGGAAATTTACATGATAAAATATTAAAAACACCTGCATATTTGTTTGGAAGAAATTTGTGCGAAATTCAGAAAAACAATAATCTAATCAAAAGTTAAACGTCTTTTTATTCTTTTATAAAAAACATTTTTAATAACGTAAGCGTAAATAAATTTAATAGACTAACGCTAACCCATTAAATTATTTAATAAAATAAATAGTTATTTTTAATATATTTTTTTATTTCTATATCCAAATTCTGCATGCCATTAATGTTGACAACAGTTTTTAAGGCATATCCTAGATTATTATTATATCTCATAACAATACAACCTACTTTATCATATTTCTGGCCATTTTAATTGCTGCTAAGTAATGAAATACCCCAACTATCTTCATAAATCCAAAAACTTAACCCGAGTGCACCATTGTCTATCCACCGAAGTGGGCAATTTTATTACCTTTTATTGGCAACGTTGCTTCAGTTTCACTCGAACCCATTGACCGTAATGCATTAATGTCCTGTGGCCGCCAAAATCGAGCCAGAAGTTGGTTCGATGGCTGCTTGGATGGCTGAATGGCTAACTGGCTCGCTGAGCTTGCATATTTTATGACCAAGTCCAACTTTAATTGGAACAATACCAATAAATGCCAAATGCAGATGGCCAACAGGGAGAGCCAAAAAGTTTGATGTGCATTGACCGGGATATCGAAAGACCCACCAACCGAATCGCAATCCGCATCGGTGGAAATCAGCTCAAGGGGACGCATTTGGTCACACACAGATACACACAAACACACACACACACACACACACACACACACAGGCACAGCGACCGCAAGGATAACAACGGCTTTTGGCCGCCATCGCTGCAAGTTTGCGGTTTTTGAGGGAATGAAATGCAGACAGACCGGTTAACAATTCAATGAACGCAATTACGCCCAGATTTCAGGTGGCAGGTGGAGAACGGCGTTGCCACGACAGCGATTAGAGACGACGCGTTTAAATTAAACGCTTACAACATATTGTTGTTGGACAACGAAGTGGGAATTCCCCTTACCAAGCGAAAAAAAGAGAGCAAATAAATGCAGTACCGAACATAAGTTACTTCGTGCACCGCCAATAAATTTGGCGCCCAACAGTATGCAATGTTTGGCGCCTTTTTTATTCTGTATTGTAGGGGAATAAAATATAGGGAAAATAAAATTAATAACAATGTTCCTTTAATTCAAATATTATAATTCAAAAGTTTAATATAAAAAAAAAATTTTAAGTAAGGAAACAGTATCTTTAAAATGTAAGGCAAAAAGAAAGTCAGCCAAAATACCCTTTAACTCAAAGAGTACTAGGTATAAAAAAGGTAAAAAAACTAAAACGTTTGGACATAAATGCTGGCGTACCCAAAATGGCTAGATGCATAATTTATGCACACAATTCGTCACTGCATTCGAATGTCCTGTTCCTCGAGTCCTGTTCTCATTTGGCTGCCACAACAGCTGACGCACAAAGTCCTGCAAACTGTTCGTCCTCCGGCCAACCGTCCGATTAATTAAAAGGCATTTTATTGACTGGGAGGGGGGTTGTGCTTAAATGGGCGATGTGTGTGTGGAATAGGCCACTTTTATCGCCAGTACCTTCATGATGCTGACAGCAAATTGCTTTGGCTGATTTGGCATTTTCCATTGAGTCAATAAGAAATGAAATGCGGTTGAATGAGCTTGCAGCATGGGAAAGGTGTGAAGAGGATTTCAAACAAAGTAAAGTCAATTTCAGCAAAACAGAAATAAGGATTCTTAATAGAGAAAATAGAGTAGCAGAACTGAATATCGATAATGTTTTGTAGAAACAATACATTGTTAAAGTAAGTAAGTTTAATATCAATAAACTCTTTTTAAAATAATTAGTATAATTGTTTAGATTAGTTTTCTACATAATCTATTTAATTTTTTTACTTCAATTTAACTTCAAAAGAGGAATATACTTTGTCTTGAATAGCGACTCGAAACAGCCCTTTCAGCAGACTGCCAAAAAGAGAAGGACCAAACCCTAAGGCCACCGCTTGGAATACCAAATTGAATAAATAGTATACGATATAATCTCCAAAGAGTAACCCAATAGCTGGCGGGCAAGCCGCAGAAACTGCAAGACGGTCATCCTTTGGCACTCAATAAATGTTATCCATCTATGTGCAGAGCAGGCTCAAATGTCAGTCACATATTCCCTCAATCATCACGACGCCCTCTGGAGCGATTTCCCAAAGGGTCTCCAGTGCAACAATATCAAGGAAAGGGGAATGCGGGGATAAACATGGGCACAAAGTCCAATTTGTTTGTAATGGCATTACTTTGTTTACAAAACAAATTTTGTATGCATAGCGAGTAGTCGTCGTTGGGAGAAAAGAGGTGAACTGCAAAACCCAACTCGAATGCCGCGGGTGGTGCTGTCGCAGTCTGGGAAAACTGGAAAACAAAAATAGAAAGGCGGACTAATAAAATATAGACAGAGATATATACAATGTATATGTTTGTACAGCTTCTAAAAATCATTGTACCATAAAATTTCCCCAATGGACGCTCGGAGTTTTCGGTTTGCAAGGACTCTCCACTCTGCCTTTTCGCTGTTTAATTTTACAATTGTCCTTTTTCTTTATTCCTGTCCAGGGAATGAGATGAGTGGGTGGTTCACGTTTATCTATGCGCATCCGTTCCAAGTGCGGTTTTGTGATTTATGCTTCTTTCCGTTGGCCAACATTTGTTTTGCTCACCAAGGCCGAGCAAACAGAGGAGTTCTCGAGCCAAATAACCTTGTATAGTATCGATTAAATCCGAATATAGTTTCTTAAGGTGTCACAATTTAAAAGCTAATGTAATAGACATAATATATATTTCTTTCAGTGTTTTTTTACGGAATTAAAGAAGAATTTTATTTTTAATCATTAAGAATCTTATTATTTTTGATGAACTAAATTCAAACCTTTTAAGGCGATCCAGGCATAGCTGTAAAACTTTTGTAGTTTTCAATCAATAGGTTAAGCTTTTTTAATTTGTGCTTTATATTTCTGCCATTTACATATCAACACAAATAAATCCAATTTAGGTATCTGCAGGACACGACTCCTGGGGCACTTTACTCATGTCACTTATAACCAGACCAGCCTTTTGACCAAAGTGCTGGGCCATATAAACTATTTCCGAAGGAGGTAGTCGTTTTCGGGTCTGGATGACGGCCCAATCTAAAGAATAGAAAACATAATATCAATAGTAAAATTATCTAGTCTGTATATACAAAACACCACTCACGAAAGCTAAAAATGTTGCTGGCATCGAAGCACATAAAGCGTATGGCAAAGTTAACATAGTCCGTATCCAGTACATAAATTTGAACCCCCTCAGGAAATGCTACAAAATATGCATACTTTATATTCTTCTCAATTAGTTATTGCAATTTCGCTTACCTGTATTTCTTGTGCCCAAAATATACCTTCCCATATTTTCCTCTATTTTTATTATTTCCGCATTTCTTACCTTTATTGTGCCGGTTCTGTGGAATGGATTTCGATATCATTGCTTGGATAAGTTTAATATTTTCTTACTGAGAGTTCAGTTCACGGGCAGTCACATGATATTTATCCGCGGCGTCCTCTACGAATTCCGTCGACTGACATTTTGGCACTCGCAATGAGAGAGGAGGATAAATGGAGTGTGTGTACCACTTTCCTTCAAATCGATTCATATCCAAGTCTCCAACTGCAGTCATATTATCGGGACAGGGTCCGTGGAAGGCCCTCATGGCCAATGAAAATTGGAGTTCGAGTACTACAAAGCTTTTAAATAAATAATGCTGTGGCTTTAAATTTATTTTATTTCTTAATAAATTCTTACGCGAAGAACTTCCACTTGTTCATGCTGAAAAAGTTCAAGTAGAAATGAAAACAAAATCATTTAGTCAGGCTAAATTAAATGGTTTTAAACAGACTAATCAAGATTTTCCGGGGCATCTTTACAGTTAAATTGGTTGAATTAAATAATACATTTATTACAGCATAACACTTGAAAAAATTATAATGATTTTATTACAACTTCTTTTTTATATAGCAAAGTCAATAAATATATTTAATAACTCGATCGACTATTTTAATTGTTCGCATTAACAACTAATAAAACTGATACATAATAGAACATTTACCTATCGATATATGTACACTTGAAAAATAGCAGTATTAGTAACTTAAGAAGTTCATAAAAATGTCGTAGAGACGCTCGTAGAAGCGTCGCATCCATTCTCATGCCTTTTCGATGGCATTTGGCACCACAGTGGTGACGAAGTCATCCAGATCGATCTCATCACCTCCAGCCAACTCAGTGCCATTGCCCTCCAGTTGGGGGCAGTTCTTCTGAAGAGTATCGATGAGGAAGGCCTGCGATATCTTATTTTCGTCCAAGATCTTTTTGGCCGCTTCAATGGTCTCCACCGAAGGTTCACGCTGACGAGTTAAGATCCAAACGACCTCTGCAATTACAAAACTAATTATCATTCTGCCGCAAATGGTTGTACACCCAAGTTAGTTATGACACCGCTTGCATATCAACATCTCGAGTAGACTTCCTCGTTAACTTACTGAAATTTGCCAAGGGCGTTAGGCTAGTGCAACTGTAGACGACGGCATATGATTCATAGTCGGTGCCCAAAACCAAGTAGTTGGCCTTCGTTAACGACTCTAAATGAAGTGGATAAATAAACAAAATGAGTGCAAGAAATCATATTAAGTACGGAATTACTCACGGCCGGGATAGAATGCCACCGCCAATTGACCAGGTGCGATGAGCTTGGCCTTACCAGTCACATTCGACGGCAGTCCAGTGCTGTTTTGATTGGATTTGATCAGATTGATTGATTACAATTACAAGTATGTCACTCACAATCGATTGATAGCCGCATTCACCACAGACACGGTGCTGTTGTCTATGAGACCATAGTTGGCGTATATGCACTTCTTTCCGATCTCAAAGGCGAATGGATATTTGGAGTACTCGTACCAGACACCCAGGTACTAACAACAGTTAAAAATAATAAATAAGTCATATTAATTTTCGGCTTCCGAATGTTATTACAACATTACGTGAGTTTAAACCGATGTTCGTGTATAAATGTAATACAAAGTGCCACTCTGAAGTGTTCATTAGTAAGCTCTCTTAACTTAAGGAAGCTCCATGTGATATGATTCACCCTTATCAACACTTTAAAAAGATTGATAACATAAAAATACTTTTAATTAAAAAACTAAAGTGGGATTAGTTGTTATAAACAAAATAGTTTTCACCCAGACAAAACAATTTATATTTATTTGATAAGAAGGAATTGATTAAAATTTGGTACCTAAAAATTTTAATGAATTCACCGAATCAACAAAACAATATTCGATTAGGGTAAACATGTTTATCTTATCTTGATTTTGTAAGGGCAAGGTCTTTCAAGAAAGTTCCATGCAAAATAAGTGATTTATAACAGGCATACATTTACATAATTTATTGGTTACTTCTTGAAAATGAGATCATTTGAAGAGTTATTGACTGGGTTATTGACATTTGTTTGTTTGCAGTTCATACTTTTTAACTCTTTAACAAGACTTATATAGGGTATGAAATTAAGTTCATTGATTGAAACCAATTCGATCGCTTAAACTTAAGACTCACCGCCTCCACATCGAAGGTGTCCACAACTTTGACATCCGGACACTTTCCGGGGAATGGAAGTTGAGCACTTCCCAGCCAAACTCCATTAACCATTAGCAAAATAAGCAGCCACAAACTGTAACGATAGTAAAGTGAATTGTAAAAAAGGTTTACTCTAGAATTATTAAGTAGCGAACCTCGACCGGTGATTCATTGTAGAGGATAGCTTAGTGATACGATTGCACTGAGTTTCTGTTCTACTTCTGGCTTAGAACTGAGGTTCGAATGCAGCTGCCTTGTATCTTTTATATGCGAAATGAGGGAGCTTTGTTTTGCAAACGAGCTTTTTTCAATGCGCCGTCGCAATGTAAGTAAAAACAATAGTTTGTGTTGTAAACAAAAGTGAAATGCAGACGATCTGGATGAAAGTTCGCAATGATGGGGTGATAATGGGGAGAGGGGTCTATAAATTTCTGTCTGGCTGTGATCTCGTTACACTCCCTAAGCTCACATAGAAACCAAACTGATAGCATTGTTTTCTTTACATAATTTCAGTATGCACATCGCGATAATCGCTATCGATAAGGGCTTCCGCATTATAAGCGGAACGATTTGAATTGCTTTTTAGAGTGAGATTGCGTGAATTAGTTCAATGTCCTGATGATGGCGAATACAAATGGAGCGGACATTGAGTAGAGAGTATGCGGGGTGAATATTAAATGAAGAATGCAAAGTATATTTGTTGTTATCAGCTCAGCAATTTATATTTGCTTGTCTATTTGTTGTATGATCTTTGCCCATGGTGATATTGTTCTTTATGATCTATAAATTAGCAGACTATCATAATGCTTAACTTTGCGAAGAATCTGCTTATTACAAATCCACAAATGGCATCAACTTCCTGGCTGGCAAAAAAGGCCTGGAATTAAAGCAGTCACTTATTATTATACTGCTACTCTGCACTCTTGGAATTTTTACAACATTTCTTTAAATTTCTCAATTCGACTGACATTTTGCGCCTTTCAATAATAGAGGATAATATAGATTACAGTAATTTAGGGAAAAAGCTCTACATTTTCATAAAATCGTTTCGTTTTTATTTCTCACTGTTACATAAAAGAAAATTTAAGTATACATTTTTGTACATTTGAATAACTGAAGTTTTAGGAACTTAGTAACTTAAAAAGAACATAAAAATGTCGTAGAGACGCTCATTCTCATGCCTTTTCGATGGTATTTGGCAACACAGTGGCCACGAAGTCATCAATTGACATGTCCCTACAGTTTGGGGCAATCCTTCTGAAGAGTGTCGACGAGGAATGCCTGCGATATCTTATTCTCTTCCAAGATCTTTTTGGCCACATCAATGGTCTCCGTTGAAGGTTCACGCTGACGAGTTAAGATCCAAGCGAACTCTGGAATTACAAAACAAATTATCATTCCGTCGCAAATGACATTATCAGGAAACTTCCTCATTAACTTACTGAAATTAGCCAACGGCGTTAGATTAGAGCAACTATAGACAACGGCATATGATTTATAGTCGGTGCCCAAAACCAAGTAGTTGGCCTTCGTTAGGGACTCTAAAATGAATTGGATAAAAAAACAAAATAAATGCTAGAAATCATATAAAGATTGGAATTACTCACGGCCGGGATAGAATGCCACTGCCAATTGACCAGGACCGAGGAGCTTGGCCGTTCCAGTCACATTCGATGGTTGTTCGGTGCTGTTTTGATTGGGTTTGATCAAATTGATTAGCTATAATATGTGTTTACTCACATTTTCATTGATTCCGGAATTCAACACAGACACAGTGCTACTGTCTACAATACTATAGTTGGCGTAGATGCACTTCTGACCAATCTCAAAGGAAAATGGATATTTGGAGTACTCATACCAGATACCCGTGTACTAACAAAAGTGGAAAAAATATATAATTTACATATACGAGTATTTCCATAATTGAGATATTACATATTACTTTATAAAGTAAGGTAAATTACTTATGCAACAAAGTGACAGTTGAAGTGATCACTTAATTTATAAGCTGTCTTAACTTAAGTAAGTTGCTTGATTCCCATTAGTAGCTTTAAATTCAATGATTAAACGATTAATTTTAATTGAAAAATTAAAGTGGGATTAGATATTATAAAATAGTGTTCACCATGACATTTACAAATTTTATTTATTAGATAAGAAAATTGGATTAGATATTATAACAAAAAAATTAAATGAATTTACCAAATCAAAAAAAAATATTCAATTAGGGTCAATATTTTATCTGATTTTAAATTTCAAAGAGATTAAGTATTTTAAACATATACCAACCAAATTCAGTTCAATATAAATGACATATATCTTCTTTGTTATAAATTATAAATTTGACTGTTACTAATATATTTTAAAAAGAAGCGGCTTGCAAAATTAAATTGAGTAAATTGACTCACCGCCTCCACATCGAAGGTGTCCACTACTTTGACATCCGGACACTTTCCGGGGAATGGGAGTTGGGCACTTCCCAGCCAAACTCCATTAACGACCAGCAATATGAGCAGCCACAAACTAACGATAGTAAAGTGAATTGTAAATAAGGTATTTGTTAAAATTGTTTAGTAGTGCAAACCTCGACCGGTGATTCATTGTAGAGGATAGCTTAGTGAACTTAGTTTCTGTTCTACTTTTGTCTTAAAACTGATGTTCAAACGCTACTACCTGGTATCTTTTATATGCGAACCCAGGGAGCTTTGTTTTCAGAAAATGAGCTTTTATTCAGTGCGCAGACGCAAAGTAAACATAAACAATAATTTTATGGTTAACGAAAGTGATGATCTGGATGAAAGTTAGAAATTTAGAGCTTATAACAGTCCGTCTGGCAGAGTTCTTGTTACACTAGCAAAGCACAAATAGAAAGATAATCTGATAGCGTTGTTTTTTATACTGAGAGAGTGACTAGTTTACATATATAGTACGGTTATTTAAAAGCGATTAATCTGGATGATTTTTAAATGAGGAATACAAAAAGTGTATCAATATAATCTTTTTATCTGAAAAATGGGTCAAAAAATATGCGTAATTTATATTAGTTTAGTCATTAAAAAATGTATATCTTCATAAATTTATCTTAAATATTTAAAATAATTTAAATATGTTTTCTGCATTTATGTTTTAAAATAAACAAATATAGTTTTTCTTATCATCCACTCAAAGCAAAGCTTTTTCCATCATGTGGATTGTATTTGTGACGCCATCTATTAACATTGTTGCCAGCGCCATCTGTTGAGCGCTTTGCCCGTTGCTTGTGAAAATAAGGTAAAATGTTCGTATATTTGAGGTTCCTTCAGCTCTTATCCTTTATCTCGTACTCAACCTGGACAGGAAAATTGTTGACAGTGGCGAGATTTCTTCGGTTTTTCTCTTTTTGCAGATGTGAGACAGGGAAATTGCGTTTCCCCATATATTATTAAATTAATTAAATGTAAACCACAAATTGAGTTAAATGTGCAAAAATGCCCGCAGGACGAACGCTGAAGCGTCTGTTTGGACGAAGGGGCTTTGAGGTAAGGAGAGGTTTTCCAGGTGATGTATGTATGTTTCGGCTAGGGTAGATTGAATAGTGCCATTGGAGTTACTAAACCTTTATCAAAATTCAATAAAATATTATTTTTCTATAGCTTTTAGTTATATTTTATGGGTAAAATTAAAAATACATTTTTTTTCAATAATTAATGCATACCTTTTTGGTATTCATTGGTATCTACCCTCGTTGAAGTACTCTTATTTTTATACATATGCGGCTAGCGCAGATTATGAATGGCCAGGCAACTATTCGGGTATGGGAACTTATAGCGCATTGCCCCATGAAAGGATTGTGCCTGCCCCATTCGGATGGATGGATGGCCTCCGCTCGGATTTGGCTGCCACTGTTTGCTGCATGCAGCGTGTAGTAATTAAATTTAAAATATGTACACATTTGCCGGACATCTGAGCTTAAAAACAGGTGCAATGCTTGAGGGTTTGGCCGTGGAGTGGGGTCCAGGGATAATTCGATCAAAGGCAACCGTAAGCCTGCAGCTGCGAGTGGACAGATGAGAGCCGGCTGGCTATTACAGGCCATAAGTGCAGTTTTCGGCATGAATCCACTGCCGAAGACAGGGGCGTACTTCCCACAGGGGCATACTATTTATAAAAGTCTACTTTAATTAAGCTTTAATTTCATTATATTATTAAATTACTAATTTGATTAATATTTGGGTTGAGTGCTTAGTATTTCCTGCTGTTGATCCCCATCGGCACCGGTCACTGTGGTGCATTTCTGCGGTTCAAAGTGCATTGACAATTGCAGCTGAGTGCGTGATTAACAGACAATCGTGGAATTTGAAAAATAAAATTTAATATCTATACAAAGAAAGAACTTAATTATATTTTATTATATTAATATTTACATTACTATACGAATAATTTTGACATGAAAACCCTTCCCAAAAATATTTAAGTGAATTGTAAGGAGGCAAGAAAAATAGTATTGTTACCCCGAAAGAAACCAAATAAATATTTTATAAAATATGTATGAAATTTAAAGATCTTGAAAATGGTAAAGGAGAAGACAAGGATTAATCCATAATCAGCTATTTTTGATATCCCAATAGATCGTGTCACGTTGTGATCTCAAAAATCCCTGCCCTGCCCACAATTCAATCACTTTGCCATTTTAAGTGCTCGAATATTTTGTGGTTATTCATTCGCTTTATGGGCATTTTGTTGAATGTAATTTGATTTAAACAGAATCTGGCCCGATATATAAAAATCAGTGCAGTGCCACAGGATATGGGGAAATATGTATGCATATATAGAGCACGCGTGTGGCTATTTAATTAAGTGGCTACCTTTAAAGCCAGCCGCCGGAATTGAATTAATTTTGATTATTGTTGCAGTTCGGCTGGGTTCAGATTCCGTTTCGTTGCAATCAACAGTTGACATAAAAAAGGAGTCCCATTCCCCGAAGGGGATCACACTAAACTGTCGGCTAAATAACATCCAGGCGAGGACAGCTGGAGCAGCAACATCAAGTGGGTGGAGACACACTCCGGCGACCTTTAACCCGGGCATGGGAGTTGCGAGAAGGGGGCTGCAGGGGCTGGGTGTTCCCCACCGAATGCGTGGGAATTGCAAAACATGACGCAATTTGTGCTCGCTTTTGTTGCTTGTCCCTTTTGCATGCCATTCTCCTAGGATATTACCAACTGCTCGTGTTCTCCTACACACGCAATGGGCCATATATTAGGATGGATCCAGGGGGTTGGGAGGTGCTGGGAAAGTACTGCCATTAAGCAGAGATATGGCCAAGAAGTTCCGGAAAAACACTGCTGCTCTGGGAAATAACTCAAAAGGAATAATTGGTTCGGAATTGAAACTTAAGTCCCCAAGGCTTGTAATCTGTACTCCATGGCATTATCTCTTCAGTAAGATATTGTTGCTAAGATTAGTTAGACTGTTATAATTTAATTGTATTAAATAAGTAAATCAATAATCGAGTCTAGTCTCGGAAAAAATTCAAAAATAAATAATTGATTCAGAATCCAAACTTAAACTTACTTATAACCAAACCATCACCTATTAAATAATTCTGAATATTACGATTAAAGTTTATCAAAAAAAAAGTGTCTTTAATTTAAATCAAATTTACTATTTTATAAAATAAATTTTTGTAAGTAAAAAAAGCTGTCAAATATTTTCAATCTTAAACTGTTAATTTTGTAAATGCCTAACTAGTTACTAAAATAAATGTTTGTAAGTACAAGTGTTCAATAAGTATGTGTTCCACTTTGTTGCAACAAAAGGTTTTACATTTATCTTTCCCCTTTTGATCTCTTTTCATTTTCTTTTACCGAATGCTCTCCTAATCTTTATATCCAATATAACACCCACCTGATCACCTGCCACGCCATAAAAGCAAACCATTCACACAGCCATATCCCAAGTTTTTCCACCTTATTTTGATGTTGCAATCTTGGACAAATTTATTTATTTAGCACATTGTTTTTCGCATCTCTCCTTTGGGCATCAGTTGTGCTCCCGACTTACAAAAAAAAAAATAAATATGGGAAAACGCGGAAAAGTCTGGCACACAAGAAAGCTAACATTAAGAACAATAACAATAACAACTCGTGTCAGACAACAAAGGAAAGGGGAGTGGATACGAAAAAGGACCAACTCTCGAAAGTATTTTGATTTGTGAAATGCTCGTAAGTATTGTCGTTTTTGGCGCTGGCGCTGGTAGCAATTTCTTAAATTTTTTATAGCGCATAACCTGTCTGGCACACATGTGCAACCTCCCCCTGGAAAATCCCTTCCAAAGCAAACCAAACCAAACCAAACCGAACTGAACCCACCCACAAACGCAGTTCGCTGGAAGGCTGAAAGTCGCAGGACGAAGACGTTGGGCGCTTGTTGGCAACGCTTATTGCATTATCCTCCTCGGCTGGAGTCAGTCAGCCCGGATAGATGTCGGTCTATCTGGGGGCAGGGGGTGGTAGTCGGAGGGGGGCTGTTCGGGAAGATATATCCGCGCCAACTGCCGCAGCTGATGCCACTTTTGGCTCGTGGCAGCCGCGGGCTGTTTGCTGTTTGTTGTTATCCTGGTTATGGCTGGAGCACAACGGCCAACAAAATCATATTCCTTCGAGGATACAACGAATACTTGCTACACTCCCCAAAGAGATCGCTCAGAGCAAAGACCTTTGGTTTTAGTAACTACCAAACAAAGTTAGCATATGTTTTATTATTTACAAAATAAGAAGAAAAACACCCAGCGTTTCAATATATTTTAAAGAATCTTAAGAAGCATGATTTGGTAAATATAGATTAAATAAAAAGCACCCTTTCAAATAGTTTACATTTTTTTACTAATATTTTAAAATTGGTTTTACTTATTATTACTTACTCTAGGGATCATTTAAGAATATATATATTGTTGAAATATAACTTGAATTCTTTAAATGTCTTATTGAATTTCACCTTATTAGGAAAATCACTATCAGTCCCATATGCCCATTCAAAAATGAAAGGAATTATGAGAATTGGCACGACTTCAGCTGGGCTCCTCTCCTCCTACACCCACACCCCCTTCCACACCCATGTACACCTCACACTCATCACTACCCCCCCACTTTCTTTATTCTCCACCAAATGCCTTGCGAGAAATGTTAATACCGAAAAAAAGAACCATTTGCCGCAATGAAAATCGCGTAAATTTCATACTGATTGTAAGTGTCGCCGTTTTCTTGACGTTGCCATGAAGGCAAAAGCTAGACGGACAATGCACTGATAAAATTTAGGGTGGTGTTAGACAAAGACTAAAGTTAAACAATAGTACTAAAGAAAAATGTAATTTTCAATAAAATATTTCAAAGTTACCTCTACAAACTTATTGCCAATATTTAAATTTTAAATATATGACTATGAATTATTGAAAACAGCTTATAAATTAAACAAATAATCACAATCTATTTTTTCCTAATGTAGTTTATTATTTTTAATAACTTATAGTCCTTATAGTAAGATCAAGTACATAGGTAATTGTTTAAAAATTAGAACAAGTAATGGTTGTTTTAAATGTTAATGTATTAAAAACAATTAGAAAATCCTAAAATTTTTCTGAGTATAGAGAGGAGCTGCAAGAGATGTAGACGGAACTGCCGTGGCCGTCTGTTTCCCCTCATCGCCAGTAACTTTCCGATTCCCCCCAACTTCCGTTTTGGAACTCTGGTGTTGGCTGTCGCCTGCAGATTGTCAGCATTGTCACAATTGCAATTTTTAGGACGGCATGGGATCCGCTGATTTGGTTGCCATTTCACCATTTGAGCGTTTCAAACATTTTGCGGGCATTTACCATAAAGAGGAAAGCGAATCCAAATCGGAATCCGAGCCAAGAACCTTATTCGATTGCGTTAATAGCCGAGAGTGGCGACCAATGCCAGCTGCAAATCTTACAAATTGCAAAAGTTTTCCTTTGCACTTTTTTGGTTTTCTTCTTTGTTGGTTTATGTGTTTTATACATACATATGTAGTTATCATCTTTTGTTCCAGGGGCTTGCTTTTTGATGTGGAGTTTAGGGTATATTGGAACTTATATATTGGATAAATGGGAATATGATAAGAAAGGATCAAGCAACAAATCCTTAAGATAAAGAGAAAGAAATAAAGAAATCATAAAACTAAGACCCAGAATTTTGTATAATTTTAATGAGATAATAAGCAAAGAAATAAATACTTCACAAATTTTGGTAACTTCTTTTTTCTAAAACTCGTACATTATTATATATACCATATCATACCATTATCAAATTCTATTCTGCTGAGTATTAAATTAAACACACCTTCCAAAGATTGAAGAAAAATGTCCCTATACATTTTAAGTTTTATTGATTCTGACAACTGCTTACTTTGTATTCGATCATGTCTCTTCGCTACATTCTATATTTGCTTGACTTCTGTCGAACTATGATTAAAAAATAATTTCGCAAAAATATTGAATCACGTCGCGTACTTGGCAGCTTGGCAGTCGAAGTGAACGACGTTTGCTGGAAGACGGATGGCGCTTTTTGATGGCCGAGAATCAAGTTTGTTTTTACGTGCCACATAGTTGGCCCAGGAACGTGGAGGATTTTGGACCTGGCCGGGGGGGGAATGTCAAAGGTCGGTCGCAGCTGCTGCAAATGGCTGGTGCTTTGGCGAAATGAGCGACCCACCGAGGCCCCCGACCAAAAACTCACTTTTGGCTATGAGAAATCGCTCGTCATTATCGACGCCTGCGAAAATCCGCCAGCTCAGACACACACCCACATGCGAAGACGCCATAAATTATGTTACTTCCCATACACACATATCTATATGTATATATAGACATCTGGGGCTGTGAAAAATCGTGCCCCAAAAACTTTGACCCAACCCCCGGAAAAGGAGAACGAACTTATTGAAAATCACTTAGACACACATGTGACGCTCTCTAGTTCGTGAGCATGAAAATGAGGCACAAACCGAAGGAATTTCGGGGCTATAATTTATGTTTTGGGGATTTGAATTTGAGGGAGAGATTTTGGGGCAGGGTTAAGCCACCAAAAGCACCTAGGAAAAGTTTACAAAACGGTCACCGAATGTTGGCCCAAAAATGCAGTGTGTAAAATGGCCAAAAGGATTGGCAAAATAAGCCCCAAGGAGTGTCAAAAAACTGGACAGACTGGACAGTCGGAGACTCTAAAGGCTACTTAATAGACATGACCACCGGCTAAGACCGCCAGCATGTGACGACAAACTCATAATTTATGGCCACATCCCGGCCAGACTTCGAATGCTATCTCTTCCTGCTAGGATGCCCCTCCTCCTTCCAGTGGAATGTGTCCGGGATCTCAGTTTCGGTCGGCATTTCGGGCCTGTCAGTGTCGTCTGTAATTGTTTTCCTAATGGAGGGGAGAGCTGGACCCCGAAAACATGACCGCACTTAAGTTGTCAGCCCAGTTATGGGCGTGGACAAATTTATGGGGCCAAGCAGGCCCAGATAATCGCCTTGGAAATGGGCGGAGGCCATGTCATCTCCCCGCCATGGCATCTCTTTGTGGATTAAAATGCAACTCTGGGACCGGAAATCACTTGTGAAATGCAACCTTGAATTTGGAAGTTCGGATACAAGGAAGAACAGAATTTATGGACTTTAAGGGAATATGACTTGGTTTATAAAAGTTAACGTTAAATAAATCGAAGTCAAAAGTAAATTGTGCATACCAATAATAAGAAAATAAAACAAAGAGGACTCTGCGATATTTTTATAACTTAGAATTCAAATCGATATTGCAATTATGTTTTTATTTTTTATTTAGTAAATTATTTGTTGTAGAAATGATAACAGAGGGACTGTAAACTTAACAACTTTTATTTTTGCAACACTGGTGAGCATGCAGTATGGTTACACTACAAGTTACACTAAAAAGTCGGAAAACCTTTTTTACAGGATTTTTGATATATTGTGATAAGTTGCATTGTAAAACAAGTTTCATAAACCCTTCGATCAAAGCACTTTGTGAAACTTAGTTCGCCTGCGAAACAAATTTATCCTATCGTCAAAATTCCCGTTGAGTTCAAGGGCCGAACAAGATAAGATTCTTAAAACATCAAAGCCATGTTTCTGGACGCTTTTGGAATCCCCAAGGAGGTGACAGCCGACAATCTGAACAGCTACTCTTACGATCTGGTATGAATTATCAAAGAAGGGCATGCAAATGTGATATTACTTGATTATAGCACGGCACTAAACTTCTGACATCGGCGGATGTTGAGTTCTTCATGCCGCCCAATTGGCATGGCACTATTTACAGTACTGAGGAGTTGCTGCACAGCTACAGAAAGCGGTTTAATGTAAGTCTAGGGTTTTTTCTTGAATAATATTACTAAATTCGAAGTTTTCCCAGCCCGATCCCGCTCTGCTGACCTTCCATGCCCTGCAGCCCTACGAACCCGAGTTCATCTGCTGCGAGAAAGCCGTGGTCGAGCTCACGGTCTTGCCGGCTGGCCAAAGCCTCTACAGCGACAAGGACATCGTGGTGTTCCTGCTCAAGCAGCCATCCGAGGAGAAAAATGTGCTAATCATAAAGGAACTGGGCTCCGAGCTGAACTTCTTCCCCCACAACCATCACTACCATGCCCGGATCATCGACGAGGGCATCGATGTGGTCTATGTGGATGACAAGATCTATATTAGAAATCCTACCATTGGATATCAGCACCAGCGACTGTACAACTTGCTCAGGAATATCAAGCCGGGTGCCGTTCTCAGCCTCTCGGGTCGTCCTTTGCCCGATGTCCTGGCCAGTGTCTGCAGGAAACCAGCCCACGGAGTCAAGGAACACAATTGAGGAGGCACCTCTTTCCCCATTGCAATACCCCATCCCTAAAACTTGAGCAGTCCGGTTAATAAACTTTGTGACTCCAGTAGACTCGTCTAGCTCGCCGATTGTTTGCATATCTGATGGCGACGCATTAGTCGCAGTTGGTTGGGCCAACTGTCTGCGCTTTTCCCGTCTGCCAATTGATTTGATTAAACTCCAGCTGAAGAGGAAGTGGAAATCTAGAGGAGATTATGAAAAGCTGCAGAGGCAGTTTGACTATTTTACACAGCTTTTGGGGACGTTTTGCTATTAATCTTTCCCAGAGATTGACCAATTCTCATCCTCTTTAGTTAACTTTTGGAAATATACATTAGGAGCTCAGTGTACTTATTGGTTTTTAAATTAGGTAAATGTTTTAGATTTTTAAATATTTTATTTAAGGCGAATCATGAGCTTAAGTTAGTAAAAACTCAAACTATTTTTAGAATGGTCCACAATAAATATTATATTTTAAATATTTATATTAATATTTACTGTCCGATCAATTTTTTAAAGACTGAAAATATTTTATCTTGAGGGAATGCCAGTTATAAATACAATGTATCTGAAGGCTTCAACTTTTTGGTATAAATGTTAAATATGATTAAGTACACCCTGCACCCAATTAAAATAAAACTACTACAGTTTCCTAATATCTCGTTGAATCATCCCAAAAATTTCTTCACTCCCCAATCCACTTTCAATAAATACATATTTTTGGGCTATGCAAAGCAGTCTTTGGCATAAACTTTTAAGTTTCCCCCACTTCGGCCCTCCAGCTCGCATTAGTATTCATAACAAAATGTCATATATTATATTTTTGGGCGTACCAATGGCCAAATCCCTTTGGGCAACGCACTGCGTGACATCTTTGTTTGTGGTCTGACCTCCTGCACGGCCAAAAAATAATCTCCCTCCTTTGGGGTCCTAAGTCCCCAAATTCCTCCCTTTTTGGATCCTTCGGCTATTCGATTCGGCTTTGCAATCGCTTTACTCTTTTGTTTTGTGCCTGGAATATCTAATGGATGCGTGCAACTAATTGAGTTGAGTTGCCTGCAAAGGATTTCGCCTTCCTCCTTGAATTTGCAAATCCTTTTTCCAGGGAAAAATCGTTTTTGTTCTTATTGTTGCTGGTCGAGCAGTTTGAGAGGTCTCAGTACTTAATGAAGCGGATGTGAGGATTTTGTAGAAGGCACAAACAAATTTTACGCAAATCAAAAAGTTAAACATTCCAGAAGAAAACTTTTCAGAGAGAGTTGGTTAAGGAATTTTGGGGAATCTTTAAAAGACTTTGGAAAATAGAGGACATTTTATTGCTAAATATAAATCAATTGTCCCTGAACATTAACATGGTTTTTTATGGATTTAATTAAAATTCAATTAAGTTTTGATTATATTAAAATTTCAAGAAGAAACGAATTTTGCACTAGAAAAGTAAAGTTCTGGAGATATTGGTTAAACTAAAATTAAGTTGGCTAAAATAGTTATATCTTAAGATTAGTCTGTTAAACTTTTTCGTTTGAGAAACTTATAAATCTACCCTGGCAACAGTGCAAATCGAAACCAAATACTTGTTTAGTTTTTGTGTGAAATAGTTGTCAATGCCGTTGAAGACTTACCCATTTCATTCGCAATTTCTCTTTTTCCGTCCGTGAGCAACCTGTTACCCCGCACCTGTTCAATAATTGATGTAAATCTGTCACCACTGTGAAGTGCCCCACTCGTTGCCATTCCAATTTCCTTTTCCCCGCTGCTGCTGGTGTTGAGTACCTTGTTGATCCTTTTTATTCCTGTTCCTGTTGTTGTTTCAAACCTGCAACTTGTTCACAACTTTTGATGGCACTTGCAGAAAAAAAGCAACACCATGGAAACTTCGCAGCTGTTGGCCGGAGAATGGGGACTTCTCCTTGGTAACCGGGGAATCCGGAACCCAGAAGCCTATGGACAGGCTGGAACTTATGTATAAGCTCTTGGGGAATGATAAATAGCCGGGCTCAAGTGGCCGCCCCGGCATAAAGCGACCTGCAGGCCAAACGAGCTTCTCACCTTTTAGCCTTATGCAAAAAGCAAAAGATGGAGAAAATCGTAGGTGAAAATAAGCAGGAAGGGCTGCCAGGATAAGCCCGAAAACGTAATGAAAATGAGATGAAAATTATTGCAACGTAAATCAGGCGTTCCTGAGGCGCCCAGCTGGGAACATCCTTTGGAGAGTCTGGATTCTGGCTATCCAACTTCCTCCACCGATTATCCCCCCATTCTGGCTAAACGTTTTCCACTGCTTAATTTGGCTTTCATTGCTTCGGTTCGTTTCTTGCCGCTTTTTTCCCTCCATTTTCCGATTTCGGTGCGGCCTGACATGAATTATTTAACGATCTCCAGCTGCGTTGATGCGATTTTCGCCAAGGATGCCTCTAAATTAAAGCCATAACAAGCTTAATGCAAAGACAACCGCAAAGAGAGTAGCACAAAAAATCCTTCATTTAAACCAACAATGTGTGTGTGTGTGTGTGTGGGTCCAGAACAATAAGCGGGATTCCCCTTCAGGATTCCTTTTCTCTACATGCAAGGTCTTAACTCTTTGTGCCGACGTCGACTTTCCAATTTCAAGTGAAAAATCCCGCGAATGAACATGTAAACAACACACTAGGTGGACCAATGAAAAAGGGCAGAGGGGGGAAAAGCGGCAGACAAGAGGGACAGGAAGGAAAACAAAAGAAAACCCGGAATGCAAAGAAAAATCAACTAAGGCCGATTGCGGTTGCTGTGGCTGTAATCGAATGAAAAATCTCCTATTTCGATTTTGAATATTTTTGAGTACTTAAATAATCTTGATGAACTCATAATTAAAATCACTTTATTTTAATTTATTTTATTTTTCCATTATAAAATAATTATATTACTTGATTATATACTATATTTAATTCCCTTTTGGATTTAATAAAACTTTTCTTTATTTATACTAAAAACTGAAAAATTAATTGTAACAATCTACAAAGAGTATTTGATGTAAATCCTAAAGGGTAAACTAAACTGAATATATTTTACATTTATTTTAATGTATTAAAAACTCATCTAATCATTTGTTTGTAATCAGTTCAATTGCTTGCTTAAATACCCACCCATCTAACTATTCTATTATTGAATTATTTTTGCAAAATATATAAAACGAACACAACAACTATTTAAGGATTTAAATATATTGTTAGGTAAGCTTCATAAGAGAGAAAATTAAATGGAATGTTCCTGAAATTTTTATTTTTTCATACTCATTTAATCTCTGTTCGAATATTCCCTTCAAACTAAAAATGCTTTCCCTGATACAGGGCTAAAACCAAATGAAAACTGCTCTGCGGGAGGTCGAAAAGAGTTTGTATCTCCATCTGTGAACTGCAAACTGCAATGGCCAAAATGTATCTGTATCTGCAGTGCCAATGTGTCTGCGTAGTCAAAGTTTGTCAGTGTGTTCGAAACAGTTTGCAACAAACTCGTACATTTGCAGGGCGAAAAATCCCAAACCCAAATAAAATGCTCTCTGCAGTTTGAACCCACTTGAAATATATATTTTTGGCAATGAAAATAACCCCACAACGCAGGAAAAAAGTCTAAAAAAGTTGTTATAATAAATGGAATGAAGCGCCAACGCGTTGAGCTGCAAGAGAATGTTGCAACAGTGGCAGCAACAAAATGCAGCCAGAGCATCCTTCCAGATAATCCCTGGGAAATTTGTCTAACTCCCAACCAACCCACACCCACTAAGGCTGATGAATGACGCCGCTGCTGTGCAAATTATAATAGCAATTTGCATTATGTGGGTGGGCCGCCCTTGCCCCCTCAGCCCCTCCAATGCCCCTCCTTTTATGGGGCAGATTTAGTGGGGCACATTGTTACCAGCTGCGTGGCGAATGAAATTTTAGATTGCCGAGTTAGTTATGGCGGTTAACTGGGCGAATATATTTGGCTGCTTGTGGGTTAATCACGAAAAGGTTGTTAAGGATTATTAAGGTTGTTAACATTCGTCAAGGATTATGCATTCTGTGAAATTTGATTCATGCAGAAAAGGCATTTATAAATAGGAATACAAAAATAATGTTGGCACTTTATTTTCTATTACATTTGATAAAGCGAAAAAAAACTTCATCCTGATGTATTTAAATCTCTCCTCTATCATTTTATTGAAATATGGAATTACACATTGTTAAATATAAATAAGTATCTTATTGTTTCTTATAAGATCTGTTTTCTGTTTTTCCAAAGCCATATATTTTATTAGTCATTTATTTCAATCAAATATCGTTTTATTGCTATGTTCAAACTTACAAACAAAATATCTGCTTTCATCTGAATTCGACTTAAAAACAATTCTTTCCCCTATTCTGCAGCACTGCTGACATCATCAACTTGCCGAACGTTATCCCCCATAAAAATATCCTCACATTCTAACAATCATCTAATTGAAATCGAGATGAGATCAACCGTACTAGCCTACGCCGACATCCATTCAATACCAGACTTGGAACCAATGCCACCCCATGCTGAAATAATTGCAAATACATAAATAAGTTGATGGTGGATTTGTGTGTGTTTGGCGGGCTTTAAAGCATAATAAATTTTGAATGCGCCATTAGCATGATTTATGCCCATTTAATTTTTCATAACAATGAAAGGAGCAGAACAGGACACGCGGGATGACAAACAGGACAGGCCGGCATTAGCAGGACAATGGAGCAGGAAGTTTCGCAGGGAACTGCTCTCATCATAAACAAGAGTGCATAAAAAATGCTGCGAATGAGGCGACAAGCGGCAACATAATTGAATAGTAAAAGCGTTGCACTGAAATTAACCACCACAAAATGACGCAAATAATGCTAAAAGGGTGGGTGGCTGTATGGCTGATGGTCACTGCCATGAACGGACGATTAAATTTCATTGAAATTGAATTACATTAAAAAGGAAAAAAAAGGGAAAATAAAAGAAGCCGAGGAGCAAAGTGCAAAAGGCAAACGTTTCATTCGGCGGGTCCTGCAGGACAATAGTGCACAAATTAACTTACAAAAGCTAAATAAAAATTG